CCTAGTAGCCTACATGAGTAAGCCCACAAGCTCTAACCCCTAGTAGCCTACATGAGTAAGCCCACAGGCTTTAACCCCTAGTAGCCTACATGAGTAAGCCCACAAGCTCTAACCCCTAGTAACCTACCTGAGTAAGCCCACAAGCTAACCCCTAGTAGCTACAATGAGTAAGCCCACAAGCTCTAACCCCTAGTAGCCACAATGAGTAACCCCACAAGCTCTAACCCCTTGTAGGCTACATGAGTAACCCCACAAGCTCTAACGCCTAGTAGCCTACATGAGTAAGCCCACAAGCTCTAACCCCTAGTAGCCACAATGAGTAAGCTCACAAGCTCTAACCCCTAGTAGCCTACATGAGTAAGCCCACAAGCTCTAACCCCTAGTAGCCTACATGAGTAAGCCCACAAGCTCTAACCCCTAGTAGCCTACATGAGTAAGCCCACAAGCTCTAACCCCTAGTAGCCTACATGAGTAAGCCCACAAGCTTTAACCCCTAGTAGCCTACATGAGTAAGCCCACAAGCTCTAACCCCTAGTAGCCTACATGAGTAAGCCCACAAGCTCTAACCCCTAGTAGCCTACATGAGTAAGCCCACAGGCTTTAACCCCTAGTAGCCTACATGAGTAAACCCACAAGCTCTAACCCCTAGTAGCCTACATGAGTAAGCCCACAAGCTCTAACCCCTAGTAGCCTACACGAGTAAGCCCACAAGCTCTAACCCCTAGCAGCCTACATGAGTAAGCCCACAAGCTCTAACCCCTAGTAGCCTACACGAGTAAGCCCACAAGCTCTAACCCCTAGTAGCCTACATGAGTAAGCCCACAAGCTCTAACCCCTAGTAGCCTACATGAGTAAGCCCACAAGCTCTAACCCCTAGTAGCCTACATGAGTAAGCCCACAAGCTATAACCCGTAGTAGACTACATGAGTAAGCCCACAAGCTCTAACCCCTAGTAGCCTACATGAATAAGCCCACAAGCTCTAACCCCTAGTAGACTACATGAGTAAGCCTACAAGCTCTAACCCCTAGTAGCCTACATGAGTAATCCCACAAGCTCTAACCCCTAGTAGCCACAATGAGTAAGCTCACAAGCTCTAACCCCTAGTAGCCTACATGATTCTGCCCACAAGCTCTAACCCCTAGTAGCCTACATGAGTAAGCCCACAAGCTCTAACCCCTAGTAGCCTACACGAGTAAGCCCACAAGCTCTAACCCCTAGTAGCCTACATGAGTAATCCCACAAGCTCTAACCCCTAGTAGCCTACATGAGTAATCCCACAAGCTCTAACCCCTAGTAGTCTACATGAGTAAGCCCACAAGCTCTAACCCCTAGTAGCCTACATGAGTAAGCCCACAAGCTCTAACCCCTAGTAGCCTACATGAGTAAGCCCACAAGCTCTAACCCCTAGTAGCCTACATGAGTAAGCCCACAAGCTCTAACCCCTAGTAGACTACATGAGTAATCCCACAAGCTCTAACCCCTAGTAGCCACAATGAGTAAGCCCACAAGCTCTAACCCCTAGTAGCCTATATGAGTAAGCCCACAAGCTCTAACCCCTAGTAGCCTACATGAGTAATCCCACAAGCGCTAACCCCTAGTAGCCTACACGAGTAAGCCCACAAGCGCTAACCCCTAGTAGCCACAACGAGTAAGCCCACAAGCTCTAACCCCTAGTAGCCTACATGAGTAAGCCCACAAGCTCTAACCCCTAGTAGCCTACATGAGTAAGCCCACAAGCTTTAACCCCTAGTAGCCTACATGAGTAAGTCCACAAGCTCTAACCCCTAGTAGCCTACATGAGTAAGCCCACAAGCTCTAACCCCTAGTAGCCTACATGAGTAAGCCCACAGGCTTTAACCCCTAGTAGCCTACATGAGTAAACCCACAAGCTCTAACCCCTAGTAGCCTACATGAGTAAGCCCACAAGCTCTAACCCCTAGTAGCCTACATGAGTAAGCCCACAAGCTCTAACCCCTAGCAGCCTACATGAGTAAGCCCACAAGCTCTAACCCCTAGTAGCCTACACGAGTAAGCCCACAAGCTCTAACCCCTAGTAGCCTACATGAGTAAGCCCACAAGCTCTAACCCCTAGTAGCCTACATGAGTAAGCCCACAAGCTCTAACCCCTAGTAGCCTACATGAGTAAGCCCACAAGCTATAACCCGTAGTAGACTACATGAGTAAGCCCACAAGCTCTAACCCCTAGTAGCCTACATGAATAAGCCCACAAGCTCTAACCCCTAGTAGACTACATGAGTAAGCCTACAAGCTCTAACCCCTAGTAGCCTACATGAGTAATCCCACAAGCTCTAACCCCTAGTAGCCACAATGAGTAAGCTCACAAGCTCTAACCCCTAGTAGCCTACATGAGTATGCCCACAAGCTCTAACCCCTAGTAGCCTACATGAGTAAGCCCACAAGCTCTAACCCCTAGTAGCCTACACGAGTAAGCCCACAAGCTCTAACCCCTAGTAGCCTACATGAGTAAGCCCACAAGCTCTAACCCCTAGTAGCCTACATGAGTAATCCCACAAGCTCTAACCCCTAGTAGTCTACATGAGTAAGCCCACAAGCTCTAACCCCTAGTAGCCTACATGAGTAAGCCCACAAGCTCTAACCCCTAGTAGCCTACATGAGTAAGCCCACAAGCTCTAACCCCTAGTAGCCTACATGAGTAAGCCCACAAGCTCTAACCCCTAGTAGACTACATGAGTAATCCCACAAGCTCTAACCCCTAGTAGCCACAATGAGTAAGCCCACAAGCTCTAACCCCTAGTAGCCTATATGAGTAAGCCCACAAGCTCTAACCCCTAGTAGCCTACATGAGTAATCCCACAAGCTCTAACCCCTAGTAGCCTACACGAGTAAGCCCACAAGCGCTAACCCCTAGTAGCCACAACGAGTAAGCCCACAAGCTCTAACCCCTAGTAGCCTACATGAGTAAGCCCACAAGCTCTAACCCCTAGTATCCTACATGAGTAAGCCCACAAGCTAGGCCCCTAGTAGCCTACATGAGTAAGCCCACAAGCTCTAACCCCTAGTAGCCTACATGAGTAAGCCCACAAGCTGTAACCCCTAGTAGCCTACATGAGTAAGCCCACAAGCTCTAACCCCTAGTAGCCACAATGAGTAAGCCCACAAGCTCTAACCCCTAGTAGCCTACATGAGTAATCCCACAAGCTCTAACCCCTAGTAGCCTACATGAGTAATCCCACAAGCTCTAACCCCTAGTAGCCTACATGAGTAAGCCCACAAGCTCTAACCCCTAGTAGCCTACATGAGTAAGCCCACAAGCTCTAACCCCTAGTAGCCTACATGAGTAAGCCCACAGGCTTTAACCCCTAGTAGCCTACATGAATAAGCCCACAAGCTCTAACCCCTAGTAGCCTGCATGAGTAAGCCCACAAGCTCTAACCCCTAGTAGCCTACATGAGTAAGCCCATAAGCTCTAACCCCTAGTAGCCTACATGAGTAAGCCCACAAGCTCCAACCCCTAGTAGCCTACATGAGTAAGCCCACAAGCTCTAACCCCTAGTAGCCTACATGAGTAAGCCCACAAGCTCTAACCCCTAGTAGACTACATGAGTAAGCCCACAAGCTATAACCCCTAGTAGCCTACATGAGTAAGCCCACAAGCTCTAACCCCTAGTAGCCTACATGAGTAAGCCCACAAGCTCTACCCCCTAGTAGCCTACATGAGTAAGCCCACAAGCTCTAACCCCTAGTAGCCTACATGAGTAAGCCCACAAGCTCTAACCCCTAGTAGCCTACATGAGTAAGCCCACAAGCTCTAACCCCTAGTAGCCTACATGAGTAAGCCCACAAGCTATAACCCCTAGTAGCCTACATGAGTAAGCCCACAAGCTCTAACCCCTAGTAGCCTACATGAGTAAGCCCACAAGCTCTACCCCCTAGTAGCCTACATGAGTAAGCCCACAAGCTCTACCCCCTAGTAGCCTACATGAGTAAGCCCACAAGCTCTAACCCCTAGTAGCCTACATGAGTAAGCCCACAAGCTCTAACCCCTAGTAGCCTACATGAGTAAGCCCACAGGCTTTAACCCCTAGTAGCCTACATGAATAAGCCCACAAGCTCTAACCCCTAGTAGCCTGCATGAGTAAGCCCACAAGCTCTAACCCCTAGTAGCCTACATGAGTAAGCCCATAAGCTCTAACCCCTAGTAGCCTACATGAGTAAGCCCACAAGCTCTAACCCCTAGTAGCCTACATTAGTAAGCCCACAAGCTCTACCCCCTAGTAGCCTACATGAGTAAGCCCACAAGCTCTAACCCCTAGTAGCCTACATGAGTAAGCCCACAAGCTCTAACCCCTAGTAGCCTACATGAGTAATCCCACAAGCTCTAACCCCTAGTAGCCTACATGAGTAATCCCACAAGCTAGGCCCCTAGTAGCCTACATGAGTAAGCCCACAAGCTCTAACCCCTAGTAGCCTACACGAGTAAGCCCACAAGCTCTAACCCCTAGTAGCCTACATGAGTAAGCCCACAAGCTTTACCCCCTAGTAGCCTACATGAGTAAGCCCACAAGCTGTAACCCCTAGTAGCCTACATGAGTAAGCCCACAAGCTCTAACCCCTAGTAGCCTACATGAGTAAGCCCCACAAGCTCTAACCCCTGGTAGCCTACATGAGTAAGCCCACAAGCTCTAACCCCTAGTAGCCTACACCTCCCCCCTCCCCATACCCCACCCGGTCCGTGAAGCCTTCCACGAAACCGGTACCCCGGTGCCAAAAAAAAAATCTTGTGGACCGCTGCTGTCGAGGCTTCTTAACGATGCCATCTGGGTGTCTGTCTGTCTGCTCTCTCATCAGCACCGTATCTGGTTTGCCTGCCATCGGTATCCGTTAATCTGTTACACCTCTCCCCCCCTATACCCCCCCATACCCCCCTATACCCCCCATACTACCCCCCCTATACTACCCCCCTCTCATACCCCCCCTCATACCCACCCACCCCCGCCCGCCACGGCACACCGCCCAGCGCCGGTGCCCGGCCACCCACGTGTGCGTGTCGGCGTCATGGTCGCTGCTCTCGCTGGCGCTGGTGGGGCACGTGGCCGGAGCGCGCGCAGCGCTCGCTGCCCTGGGGCTCGTCGCGCTGCCCATGCTGCTGGCGCCGCTCGCCCTCGTGGCGCTGCAGACCTCCAAGGAGTGAGCGAGGCCGCGCACTCACGGCACGCTCGGCACGCACGGATTTAAGGCCTCGGCAACAGGAGGCATTGGGGTGTCTCGGTGTTGTCTATGTTGTGTGTGTGTGTGTGTCTCGGTGTTGTCTCTCTCTGCTTGTGTGTCTGTCTCTGCTTGTGTCTGTCTATGTTGTGTGTGTGTCTCTCTCTTATTGCGTGTGTCTATGTTGTGTGTGTGTCTCGGTGTTGTCTCTCTCCGCTTGTGTGTCTCTCTCTGTGTGTGTCTGTCTCTGCTTGTGCGTGTCTATGTTGTGTGTCTCTGTATTGTCTGTGTGTCTGTTGTGTCTATGTTGTCTCTCTCTGCTTGTGTCTATGTTGTGTCTCTCTCTGTGTTGTCTCTCTCTGCTTGTGTATCTGTCTGTGTGTCTGTTGTGTCTCTCTCTCTCTGCTTGTGTCTGTCTCTGCGTGTGTGTGTCTATGTTGTGTGTCTCTGTGTGTCTATGTTATGTCTGTGTTGTCTCTGTGTGTCTATGTTGTCTCTCTGTGTCTGTGTTGTCTCTATCTCTGCTTGTGTGTGTCTAAGTTGTGTGTGTATCTCTCTGTGTCTCTGTGTTGTATGTGTGTCTGTTGTCTGTGTGTCTGTGTTGTCTCTCTGTTTGTGTGTCTGTGTTGTCTCTCTCTGCTTGTGTGTCTCTCTGTGTCTGTGGTCTCTCTCTGCTTGTGTCTGTCTGTGTGTCTATGTTGTGTGTCTCTCTCTCTGTTGTCTGTGTGTCTGTGTTGTCTCTCTCTGTGTTGTCTCTGTGTCTATGTTGTGTGTCTGTCTGTGTCTGTGTTGTCTCTCTGCTTGTGTGTCTCTGTGTTGTCTGTGTGTCTGTTGTGTGTCTCTCTCTGTGTCTCTGTGTTGTCTGTGTGTCTATGTTGTGTCTCTCTCTCTGTGTTGTCTGTGTTGTCTCTCTCTCTGTGTCTGTGTTGTCTGTGTGTCTGTTGTGTGTGTCTGTCTGTGTGTCTGTGTTGTCTCTCTTCTTGTGTCTCTGTCTCTGTGTTGTCTGTGTGTCTATGTTGTGTGTCTGTCTGTGTCTGTGTTGTTTTTCTGCTTGTGTCTGTGTGTCACTGTGTTGTCTCTGTGTGTCTATGTTGTGTCTCTGTCTCTATATTGTGTCTATCTGTGTTGATGTTGTGTGTCTCTGTCTCTGTTGTCTATTTTGTGTGTCTCTGTGTTGTCTGTCTCTGCTTGTGTCTGTGTTGTCTCTCTCTGCTTATGTGTCTCTCTGTCTCTGTGTTGTCTCTGTGTCTGTCTCTCTCTGTTGTCTCTCTGCTTATGTGTCTGTGTTGTCTCTCTCTCTGTGTGTCTGTGTTGTCTGTCTCTCTGTCTGCTTGTGTGTCTCTCTGCTCGTGTGTCTGTGTTGTCTCTCTCTCTGTGTGTCTGTCTCTCTGCTCGTGTGTCTGTCTCCGTGTCTGTGTTTTGTCTCCCTCTCAAATGTAGTTCTACCTGATGATGGTTGCTTGCGTTGCAATCGAAACGTCGTATTCTATTATTTATTTATGTTTCTTTCTACGTGACTTTACCGAAAGAACCAAAGAGGAATCCCCCAACTGTAGTCGCGTCAATCCATCTGGTTCACTTGTTAACACACCAACAAAGTGTTCGTTTCTTCTTCTTTGGTTCTTTCGGTAAAGTCACCACCACGTAGAATGAGAATAAAATAGTAAATTGATAAAATAAAATAACATAATATTCTCACGACGTTTCGGCCACAACACAAGCGGCCTTCATCAGGTGAAGGGACGAGACTGTCTGGAGGACAGCGCTGGAGTGAAAAAGGCACGCTCAGATCGCGACCTTTAAGCTGTGTGAGAAGAAACAAAGCGCCTTGACAAAGGAATTAGCATAGAATTTAGCATTGAAATAGCTGAGTGATTAGCTTGTGACTGGTCACAGAAATGGCTATGTCAAAGTTAAAGCATGCACATCCGCAGAGGCACCCCTTCACAAAGGAATTAGCATAGAATTTAGCATTGAAATAGCTTTGGCTGCATCTGATTTGTCTATCCGGTCGGTATCCGTTAACTTTGCCGATGTCAATCCCGGTTCTTGGCCTCGTCCATCTGGCCTCCTCGTCTGGCGTTAAAACTGCGAAATCTCTCTCGTCGTCCCTCTCCTCCCCTCCCCCCACTTAGCAACATCCACGGACCATGGGACGAAGCCGAGATCAAGGACGATGACATCCCCAGCTTCCGGTCCTAGTGACCACGTGGGACGTCCACTCTCCCCCCCCCCACCACCACCACAGCTCCCCCCCCCCCCCCACCACCACAGCTCTCCCCCCCCCCCACCACCACAGCTCTCCCCCACCACCACAGCTCTCCCCCCCCACCACCACAGCTCTCCCCCCCCCCACCACCACAGCTCTCCCCCACCACCACAGCTCTCCTCCCCACCACAGCTCTACCCCACCACCACAGCTCTACCCCACCACCACAGCTCTCCCCCACCACCACAGCTCTCCCCACCACAGCTCCCCCCCACCACCACAGCTCTCCCCCACCACCACAGCTCTCCCCCACCACCACCACAGCTCCCCCCCACCACAGCTCCCCCCCACCACCACAGCTCTCCCCCACCACCACAGCTCTCCTCCACCACCACAGCTCTCCCCCCCACCACAGCTCTCCCCCACCACCACAGCTCTCCCCCACCACCACAGCTCCCCCCCACCACCACAGCTCCCCCCCACCACAGCTCTCCCTCACCACAGCTCTCCCCCACCACAGCTCTCCTCCCCACCACAGCTCTCCCCCCACCACAGCTCTCTCCCACACCACAGCTCTCCCCCCCACCAGAGCTCTCCCCCCACCACAGCTCCCCCCCACCACAGCTCTCCCCCCACCACAGCTCTCCCCCCACCACAGCTCTCTCCCACACCACAGCTCTCCCCCCCACCAGAGCTCTCCCCCACCACCACAGCTCTCCCCCACCACCACAGCTCTCCCCCCCACCACAGCTCACCTCCCCCCCACCACAGCTCACCTCCCCCCCACCACAGCTCACCTCCCCACCACAGCTCCCCCCCACCAGCACAGCTCTCCCCCACCACCACAGCTCTCCCTCACCACAGCTCTCCCCACCACAGCTCTCCCCCACCACAGCTCTCCCCCACCACAGCTCTCCCCCCAACCACAGCTCTCCCCCCACCACAGCTCTCCCCCCCACCACAGCTCCCCCCCACCACAGCTCTCCCCACCACAGCTCTCCTCCCCACCACAGCTCTCCCCCACCACCACAGCTCTCCCCCACCACCACAGCTCTCCCCCACCACGTATACCACCCCCACCACCCACCACCACTCCTCGAGCCCCTGCAATTCCAATCGCGCCGCTCCCCAAACCCATAATTTCGCTGGCACAGCAAAATTGCTACGAGGTGCCAGTAATAAACTTGTTTTGAGGTTTTTATTTCGATTTCTTTTGTACATTTTTTTTCAGCCAAATTTCCTCTCGCCGAGTGGTTTCCCCTGCGCCGCGCTGATATTACTATTCGTCGTAGTCTCAGACACAACCACCCCCACCAGGACACGCACGCTCACAGCTGCTCGTGAGAGCTATGCAACCATTAAGCATCGACAAGACCCCCTCCCACAGCCCCGTCCAAAAGCTCCCCGCGATCCACCAAAGACGATTCCGGCGATCCGTCAAAAAAACAAATCCCCCCCCCTTTGTTTGCTCTGCGACCGTGGCGAGAATTCAGACGGGCCAGGTCCACGTGGTTTATTTATGCTCGCTCCCCACCATTTGGAATGTGGAATTTTCCGCCCGCCGGTTCTACGAGGGCCGAGTAGACCGCGCGAGAAAACGAGGCGGTAAAATAATCCGGGCACGAGGGATCGTTACTCAAAAAAGTAAATAAAGCCCCAAGAGCAGTTGCTAGGGAGCATGTCACCACACCGAACTGCACCAGCCAATTAGCTGCCAAGAAGACAACCCTCAAGCAACATGGCCACCACGATGTCCCCCCCCCCATGCAAGATGGCTGATGAGAAATTCCCCCCCCCACACAACATGGCCACCACGATGTCCCCCCGCGCAACATGGCCGCCACGATGTCCCCCACGCAACATGGCCGCCACGATGTCCCCCACGCAAGATGGTCGGCCTCACACAGCACGGATGCGAAGGCGAAATGTTACCAATTAAAAAAAAATCGAAGGCGCATCCCCCCGCAACTGCTCCCTCACCCCCCCTGCTGGCGGAAGGGCCTCCCGCCAGAGGGGCCTCTGTTAGACGGGGGGGGGGGGGGGCAATTTTGGCCTTCTCTCTTCCACGCTGGCCAAAACACCATCCTGGAAAGAGTGTCGACAGTAACCCATACTAAAGCTAAACTGGTTTATGTGTTTTTTTTTTATATTTCACCGGCTGAGGCCCAACTGAGCTCGAGAGCTTTTTATTTTTATTTAAGACGCTACCTGGGCCACAAGTGGATGAGCTCAACCGGAGTGGCTTGTCACCACGCGGTGAAAATTAACGCTCGATGCCGATTGTAAATGTGGCTAAGGGAACGACCGGACATGAATCCGTGCGATCATCACGGCGGGGGTGGATGGGAGAGGGAGGGAGGGGCGGGGGGTTGTGGTGTGTGGAAGAGAGAGAGAGAGAGACGCAGACTCCAAATATACAGCAGGCATCGTCAGGTTCGGGATCGAACCGACGACCTCCTCGTATACCCGGGCGAGGGAGATAACATCAAGCCCTCTCTGCCAGTCGACTTCACCGGCCGGCCTGCTGGCCGGCCGGACAGCAGCGGCGGTGGGGTCGGAACCCGGGGTGAGACTCAACTCCGACGTGCCGTGTCCAGGAGACGGAGTCGAAACCCGGGGGTGGGTGGGAGACTTGCGGTGGCAGTTCTCCGCATAATCAAACGGCGATCGTCGCCAAGCGGATATCAACGGCCATCCATCCCCTACCACCCCCCAAACAGAACTTTAACTCTTACAAAATCCAGCGCACGTCACGGCCGATCCTGCGACGCTGCAAACGGAGCGCGTGGTGGCGGAAATTCCACATTCCCACGGTGGGGGAGCAAGTGGGGGAGCCCTTTGCCTGTCCCATCAGGTGGCGGGGGGGGGGGGGGGAGCGCCGTGAAACGAACGGCGACTGCCGGGCAGTGTCATCATCGTCGTCGTCGTCGTCATCATCACCGTCAAATAAAAGCCAGAAGGGGAAAAAAACCACAGCCCGGAATGCACGACCCCTTGAGAGTCTCCAGTCTCGGACGCCCGTCTACCTGTGAAATGTCGTGACCGGTACACGCGCAAGGGGCGAGGGGGTCATGTGGGAGTGGGGGAGGTGGGGGAGGTCGGAGACACGTGGGAAGCAACATTGTTCAGTTAACCCACGCCAACCCCAACCCCGTGACTGCACACGCACAAGGGGACGGGGTAAATACCAATGCAAAAAGCGGAGCGCGCACGCCACGTACACGCGTACACACGTACACGTGTGTACGCGTGTACGTGTGTACGCGGGAAGGAAACGGCCGAGCTGCTTCGTGTCGCGACTATTCTCGGGCAGCGATCGCCGCTGCGATCAGTCGGGGTGACCGCGGCTCGACCTCCGGCTGGAGTCCACCCGCACCGCTGCACCCTGTAGCCGTAGCCGCGGTAGCGGCGGCAGCGGCAGGGGGTCTCTGTTTGAACCGCGAGCCGAGCGGCGGCGATTCCGTCCTCGTCCTCTTTTTCACCGTCGTTCGTGGAGCAGCGCGGCGATCCGAGAGGATGGTGACAGCGGAAACGTGAGCGGAGGCGATTGTATTTTCCCTCTCTCTCTCTCCGTGTCTCTCTCTCCGTGTCTCTCTCTCCGTGTCTCTCTCTCCGTGTCTCTCTCTCCGTGTCTCTCTCTCCGTGTCTCTCTCTCCGTGTCTCTCTCTCTCCCCGTCGTCTTTCCTCTCTGCTAAACGTCGTGGTGCGGGCAAAACAACGCACGCTGTGTGTGTGTGTGCCTGTGCGTGATCGGTCACTGCGTGTGTGTGTGTCTGTGCGCACAATCGGCCGCTGTGTCTGTTCGTGTGATCGGCCGCTGTGTCTGCGTGCTCCCTCCAGTCTCGTGGCGACGACTCCCTCCCGCCAACGCCGGCGATCCCCACCGCGGTGAGCGCGGAGGGGGGGGGGAAGGCCGTCGCCGCCGTCGCCGTCGTGATGATGACGACGACGACGAAGATGACGACGATGAAGATTTTTAAATAAATGTCGTCGCTCCGTCGTAAGCCGGCCGGAGACGCGGAGAGGAGCAAGGAGGAGTTCAAGGAGGGGGTCGCGTGCCCCCCCCCGCCCCCCCCCTCAAGCCGAGCCAGGCCGACCGCGGCGCCACACATCCATCCGACCTCCAGCTTTGCGCGAGGGGCGTTCCAAGGTTCAGAAAGTTCCCCCCCCGGCATCCGCGACCCAACCCACGCACACACGGTCCACTCTGGCCCGGTCACTGCGAAGCGTTGGCCCACCGTCGATCCGTGACGCTCGCCACGCGGAGGAGCAGTGGGTGGGGGGGACGTGGTGGGGGGGGCGCGGTGGGGGGAAGCGGTGGGGGGGGGGGGGGGCGCACGGTGGGGGGGGGGCGACCGCCGCGTCCCGTTGTGAAGACGTCGAGCGACTGACCGCCGCCATCGTTACCGTCGCCGCCATCTCCGTGTGGCGTGGGGGAGCAATGGGGAGGCGGTCACCGTGATGCCGGCGGTGGTGCCGCCGGCGGCGGCGGCGGCGATAGTGGCGGTAGCAGTGGTGGCGGTAGGGGAGTTGGCAGTGGTGGTAGCAGTGGTTGTAGTGGTGGTGGCGGCGGTGGTGTTGGTGGCGGTGGTGGTGTTGGTGGTGGCGGCGGTGGTGTTGGTGGTGGCGGCGGTGGTGGTGTTGGTGGTGGTGGCGGCGGTGGTGGTGGTGGTGGCGGTGGTGTTGGTGGTGGTGGTAGTGGTGGTGGCGGCGGTGGTGTTGGTGGTGGTGTTGGTGGCGGCGGTGGTGTTGGTGGTGGTGGTGGTGGCGGTGGTGGTGGCAGCGGTAGCAGTGGTTGTGGTGTCGGTGGCGTCAAGTGATAAAAGGGCGGGCAAAATAAAAACAAAATAATAATAAACAACACGGTTACATTAATATATATATAAAAAAGCTAAGTCTAAGGTTTAAAATTAAAACGCTAACCAACAAAACCGGAACACACAACAGGCGAGGTCGAAGGGGGCTGACCCGGCACCCGTCGCTTAACTCAACGGGGAGGGGGGGGTGAGGGGGGATGGGGGGGGGGGGGGGAGGGGCAGGGGTTGGCGATCCACGCAGAGATTCCTGCAAGAGTCCCCGGGCTACGGGGGCACGGTGGGTGGGTGGGGGGGGGGCGGCACTGTACAGTGCTGGCAGCACAGCAACATCTATCCACCCGTACGGAATCCGAAATTCATCCGTGCGGAATTCCCGCAAAAGGCCGGGGGGAGAGGGGGTGGCGGCGGCGGCGGTTCTCCTGGATGCCGGGGGAAACCGCGACACGCATGCCGTGCGTGTCGCGGTAAACATTTAGCGACGGGCCGCGACGAGGAGGCGGTGGACTCGCGTCACCGCACCGGCGCCCGCTCGCTCGCTCTCAACGCGGGGCGAGCGGTGAGGCCGCCCATTCCCTCCGGCTCCCTCCCTCCACCCCACATCCCTCGTCATCTTCATCCACCGGATGGGCCAAGGCTTCAAAGCTCGACCGTCTTCATCTCTTCCTCCTTCCTACCAACCCCACCACCACCACCACCACCTCCACCACCTCCTCCTCCTCCTCGTCGTCGTCGTCGTGGTGGTGGTCGTCAGGGCAGCTCCTCCTGATCGCCGGCGCCCCCCGCGCCGTGCTGCGCCTTGATGGGGCCCGTCCGCGCCGGCTTCCCGCGCGGCGGCAGTGGCCCCTGGTGAGCGGCGGCGGCAGCGGCGGCGTCGGCGTCGTTGCCGCCGCCGTCACCGCTTGGAGCGCCGGGGGCCGCCGCGGCGCCGTCGGCCGGGCAAGCGGCCAGCTGATCGTGGGTTTGTTCGGCGGTGGAGGAGGCCGGTGGCTGTGCGCCAGGCTTGCCCTGCTGATGGTGCTGATGGTGCTGCTGCTGCTGCCCGGCGAAGAATTTCTGGGTCGACTGCAGAACCTCGGCTCGCTGCTTGGCCTGGGAGGAACGGACGGTGGAGAGGGGCAGAGAGACGGCGTCGCACCGTGGCGTCACAACTACGATCGCCGCCGCCCCGTCGCCATCACCGCCATCACCAAACGGACCGTCGGGTGGCCAAGCACCGTGACCATCGACGGCACCGCCGCCGGCGCCGCCGCGTGCCCACGGCGTGCCGACTGGCGTCGTCGCTCCGGCACAGGTTCGTGCGTCCGCTCGCGAGGCCGGGCCACGCTGGTGCCAGCGGGCCACAAGGGCGGCATCGTTGCCGGCTTCACCGTGGCGGCAGAGCGTGTGACGTTCGTCCGAAACCCCCCCCCCTCTCTCTCACCTTCATCTCGCGCGGGTTGACGAACGGCGGCGGTGGCGGCGACGGCGACACCGCCACCCGGCTGCCCACCGGCGCTAGCGCGGCTGCCTGCTCCTGCTGGCGCTCCTGCTGCTGCTGCTGCTGCTGGTGCTGAGCGGGGGGCAACGCCGCGGGCTGCTGACCGCCGGGCGGTCTGGTGAACCGGGCAGCGATGGAGCCGCCAGGCGGAGCCGACGACGGCGGCTGCTGCTGCTGCTGCTGCTGCTGTGGCTGCGGCTGCGGCGGCGGCGTCGCCACCAGCGGCTGAGGCGTCGGCGGTGGCGGGCGCTGGATGGGCGCGGGGAAGGTGGTGCCCTGGGCGGGACGCACCGTCTGGCGCAGCAGCGCTGGCTGGGGCATGGCCTGCCATGCCGGGGGGAGGGGGGGGGGCAGAGGGAGAGGGGCAGAGGGGGGGGAACACGCTTCGTTGGTTCAGGGATTGTCTGGGGATATCGCTGCCCCGACTGGGACTTTGGTTGCATCTCCCCGACCCCCACCCGCTGACACCCCCCCCACCCTAACCCCACCCCCACTGACCCCTCCCCCCCCACCCTAACCCCACCCCCGCTGACCCCTCCCCCCCCGCCCTAACCCTACCCCCGCTGACCCCACACACAAAGACAAATGTCCCCCCCTCTCCGTCGGTAAAGCCTCTCGCAGGCCGTTTCGGGCAAGTACTGTGAGCGAATATCCCCTACGATGGGGGGGGGGGGGGCGTGACCAGACCCACGCACGCCTGGCCGCCTTTGTCTCCCCGGTGGCGACGTCTGCACCACCGCACGAGGTACTCGCTCGATGCCGGGTCGACCGAGGCGAGGGGGAAGGTGGGGGTGGGTGGGGGGGGGGGGTGGGGGGGGGTGTCCCCCGGCACCGGTTCACAGCCACGGTGGGTTCACCTGCGTGGGGAGGTAGTGCGGGGGGAAAGGGGGGGGGCCCCCGACCCTCACGGCGCCGGCTCCCGGGTGCTTGGGGAAGCACGGTCGGGGGGCGGCCGTCGCCGGCGACCCGGCACCACCGGACGCCGTCACCGTCACCACCGCGCTTGTCTGCGGGGTCAGCCCGGCCGTCCTGGGGTAGGGGTGGGGGGTGGGGGGAGTTAGGGGGCAGAGGATCGAACGAGGTTATTCCCCTCCACGTTTCGGCAACATGCAGCGTTGAGGTTGTGTTGTTGCTGTTGTTGTTGTTGGATCGCCGTCCATGTCCACGTGATGACGGGGGCCACTCGCTCGGGCTATCACTTGTGGTGGCACGGGGTCGCTCGGGAGAGATAAGTTCACACCTTCAGTGGGGCTTTGCCCTGCGAGGATGGGGGGGGATGATTGAGTGTCGTATTTGCGAAGTGTCTAGGGTGATGTGTCTACCCGTCTTGTACGCTGCGCTGCTATCGCTGTGTTTGTGTAGCTTTGTTGTTGTTGTTGTAACATTCTTACCCCGTGCCCCGACTGGGACATCTGTTAAAAAAAAGAGCTTCATAGCTCATCGGACTACTCCAGGAGAAATATTCTCATTCTGACAGCATCGCAAACCACCGTCACCAGCGCCGTGATCACTCGCCCTCATCTCCACCGTCACCCGTCACAATCACCACCACCATCCATGATCACCATCACCATCATCAAAATCATCACCATCATGACCGTCGCGGTCACAATCACCACGTTATCACGGTCACGGTCACAATCGCCACCACCACCACCACGATCACCATCACCGTCACGATCACCGTCACGAATGGCAGGATCGCAATCATCGCAATCGCCACCGTCGCCAACAGCAACGCAGCCACCACCCCACCACCGTCACCATCGCAGTCACCGCACACCTGAAGGTGCAGGAGGCCGGGCTGCCGAGGTTGGAGGAGCCCTGGTTGAGGTCCTCTCCCATTCGCTCCGGCTCCCCCAGCTGCTGACATAGAGAGCCACAGTCAGGGCGAGGATCGGGACGAAAGTCGGTCACACACAGGGTGAGCTTCAGGGGTGATAGTCAAGAGTCAGGGCCAGCACCATCGACGACGGGACTGTGGGAGACCCCAGGGCTCTCAAGGATCAGCGAGCTCCTCTCACACTGCGATCCACTCTCTCCTCTCTCTCTCGTACTCCTCTCCCCTACCGCCTGTCCCCCCCCCCGCCCCGTATGACCGCACGGGGGGAGGGGGGGGGCCCACACCTCCACTCACCTTGGCTGGCGACGCTGCTGCGCGGCTTCCAAACGGAGGCTGCGCCGGCTGGGAGGGCAGCAGAGTCGCCGGAGCAAGGGAGGTCTGGACGGACAAAGATCCACCACCCCACCCCCCCCCCCCGCCGTGTAGGCCTTAACAGAGCGTCCGGGGCAAGCGCTGTCAAGCGAGCAGCAGCGCCTGTGAAGGCTGGCGGCGGAACAGGGGGTGCGCGGATGGGTGGCCCAGCACCGCGCCCGGCCGCCTTTGTCTCCCCCATCAAAGACGAGGATCCCCCCCCCCCCCCCCCCCCCACAGAGCATCGGGCCAAGCGCTGTTACCCATCAATCAGCGCCTACGAAGGCCGGCACGGCACACGAGGAGACGGATGGCCAGCACCACGCCCGGCCGCCAGCGACGACGTTTACTAGACACACATCGCACCGGGTACTCGTCTTGAGGCTGAGTCGACCTAGGTGGAGGCCCAGGACCGATTCGGATAATCGCCACCGGAGTTGGCCGTGGTGCGGGAATCGAACTCGGTCACAAACACACGCACACACTTGTCCATCTGTCTATCAAGCCATCGATCTTTTGTCTCCATCCGTCTCGTCTGTGTGTCCGCCTGCCCGTATGCGTCTCTGTATTGTATGGGATTCGGCCTGTGTGTGTCTGTGTGCCGTGTGTAGTGAGCGTCGCCGCTGGGGAGACAAAGGTGGCCGGGACGTGGCGCTGGCCACGCTGCCCTCTCTCATGTGCCATGGCGTCCTGCTGCTAGCTAACAGCACTTGCCCCAACGGTCTGTTAAAGGATATACGGGGGATCTGTGTCTTTGTCTGTATGTGTTGGTCTCTGTATTTAAGAGTGTCTGCATGTCCGCGTGTCTGCATGTCCACGTGTCTGCATGTCCGCGTGTCTGCATGTCCGTGTGTCTGCATGCCCGCGTGTCTGCGTGTCCGCATGTCCACGTGTCCGCGTGTCCACGTGTCTGCATGTCCGCGTGTCTGCATGTCCGCGTGTCTGCATGTCCGCGTGTCTGCGTGTCCGCGTGTCTGCATGTCTGCGTGTCTGCCTCAGTGGTAGAGGCTTGCCTGATGCTGTAGGATGCCGCCTGGAGCCTGTGAAAACCCATTCTGCTTGTGTTGCTGATGATGTCCAGATGGAAACACAGTCTGGCATTCCTATGAGAACCGCAACCACCATCATCATCATCAAAACCACAACCCCCATCATCATGATAACCACAACCATTATCACAACTACCGCCACCGTCATCTCCAGCACTATCACCACCACCACAACCACCATCATCATAACCACAACCATTATCACACCTACCACCATCATCATCACCACCACAACAACATACATAACCACAACCTTCATCACAACTACCACCACCACAATCATCACCAGCCATGACTACAATAACCACAACCAGCACCATCTTCAACACCAGCACCAACAACAACCACCACCACAATCATCATCATCATAACCATCATCACAACCACCGCCATCGTCACCACCCCTCTCCTCTCTCACGCTGGCACTCACCTGAGTCATGCCGTCACCAACCGGAGCTCCGTACAACACCGGCGGCGGTCCCGGCAACTTCCCTGGCACCACCTCACCAACCACAGGCACCGTCTGCTGCTGTTGCTGGTGGTGCTGCTGTTGCTGCTGTTGCTGCTGTTGCTGGTGGTGGTGCTGTTGCTGGTGGTGCTGCTGCTGTTGCTGCTGCTGCTGAAGATGCTGCTGCTGCTGTTGAAGATGCTGCTGCTGCTGCTGCTGAAGATGCTGCTGCTGTTGCTGCTGCTGCTGCAGATGCTGCTGCTGCTGCAGGTGCTGCTGTTGCTGGAGGTGGTGCTGCTGCTGCTGCAGGTGGTGCTGCGGCTGTAGTGGTGCAGCAAAAGTGGCGCTGTAAGCGTGAGGTTTCGCGGTGGTGCTGGTAGAGAAGAGAGCAGCTTGCGCTCCGCTCAGCACCACAGAGGCTGAGGGTGACTGCTGGTGCTGCTGCTGCTGCTGCTGATGCTGCTGCTGCTGTTGGTGCTGCTGATGCTGCTGCTGGTGCTGCTGATGCAGGTTCCCTTGCAGGTAAGCCTGCTGTTGTGAACTAGGGACACACACAAGGGCAGAGTTGGTCACGGGGACCGTCAGGGCTCGGGCCAAAGTCGGGGCCGGCGCTGGCGTTAGGGGTCGGCGTCTGTGATTGGCCGAGCGGTGCCCCGACAAACCCATGACCTCTCTCTCCTCCGAGTTCGAGTTTCCTGCCACGGCCACCGACACGGGACCGAGACGATCTGTAACCCGCTTCAGTGGCGCCTCCCCTAGGTTGGCTCGGCCTTAAATAAGCCGCCTCCCATCCTGCCTCCCCCCGCCCCTCCACTCCACCCCACCGGTGCGGTGTGTACAAAAACATCAGCGTCGGTGGGGAGCGGCGCTGCGCTACGACTCCGAGCTCCATTCCCCCATCGCGGCCGAGGGCACCGGCAAAATCTAAACCGGTGCGCACCGGGGAGACGGAGGGGGCGGGGTGGGGGGCTCGTAAGTCTCATCACCGGCCGCCCGCGTGCCGTGCCGTGCGGTGCGTTGCCGGCACTTGCCGCTAGAGGCTATCCGGTTGCGGGTGGGGGGGGGGGTTGCGCGTCTTTGCCATTGTGCGAGCGGATACCGGAAGGGAGCGAGCGATCCGGTGAACACGTCCTGTGGTGGCGCCGGCGCCGCGAGCGACGCGTACACGGGGAACGTCACCTGCTGCACCGGTGGCGGCTGCGAGACGCACGCACACGCAGACACGCAGACACGCACGCACACGCAGACACGCACGCAGACACGCAGACACGCACGCACACGCAGACACGCACGCACACGCAGACACGCACACACACAGCGACACGCACACACGCAGACACGCACGCACACGCAGACACGCACGCACACGCAGACACGCACGCACACGCAGACACGCACGCACACGCAGACACGCACACGCAGACACACGCACGCACACGCAGACATGCACACGCAGACACGCACACACACGCAGACACGCACGCACACGCAGACACGCACGCACACGCAGACACGCACACACACAGCGACACGCACACACGCAGACACGCACGCACACGCAGACACGCACGCACACGCAGACACGCACGCACACGCAGACACGCACGCACACGCAGACACGCACACGCAGACACACGCACGCACACGCAGACACGCACACGCAGACACGCACGCACACGCAGACACGCGCGCACACGCAGACACGCACGCACACGCAGACACGCACACACACAGCGACACGCACACACGCAGACACGCACACACGCAGACACGCACGCACACGCAGACACGCACGCACACGCAGACACGCGCACGCACACGCAGACATGCACACGCAGACACGCGCGCACACGCAGACACGCACGCACACGCAGACACGCACGCACAGAGACACGCACACACGCACAGCGACACACGCACGCACAGCGACACGCACACACACGCAGACACGCACGCACACACGCAGACACACGCACGCACACGCAGACACGCACAGCGACACGCACGCACAGAGACACACGCATGCACAGCGACACGCACACACACGCAGACACACACGCACAGCGACACGCACGCAGACACGGCCATTGTGAACCAAGGGCCACGGGCAAACGCTCACTCACGGTCACTCTGCAGGAGAGAGGGAGAACATGCAAACTCCACTCACTCACTCACTCCTTCACCCTCACAAAGAGACAAACACACGACTTCACCGAACACTCACTAGCGCCCCCACCACGGCGGTGCAGCGGCGTCACCTGAGAGAGCGCCGGCTGGAAGGACGCCGTCTGGCCCAGCGAGGGGGGCGGAGGGTGCAGGCGCGGCTGGGCCGTGAACAGGTGGCCCACGTTCATGTAGAACGCGGGGCCCCCCGCAGACGACGCAAACACTGGGGGGGGGGGGGGGGGGGGGGGGGGTGAGGGTGAGAGGGGGCGAGTATTGTGGGTGCACGCTCCCCCACAAGACGCGCACCACTCGCACCACTCGCACCACTCGCACCACGCACACGCACCACACCACACCGCATACACACACACACACACACCCCGCACACACACACACCCCACTCGCACCACTCGCACCACACCACACCGCATACACACACACACACCGCACGCACACACACACACCGCACACACCGCACACACACACACCGCACACACACACCGCACGCACACACACACCGCACACACACACCGCACACACACACACCGCACACACACACCACACACACACACACCGCACACACACACCACACACACACACCGCACACGCACACACACACGCACACACACCGCACACACACACACCGCACACAAACACCGCACACACACACCGCACGCACACACACCGCACACACACACGCGCGCACACACACCGCGCACACGCACACACCGCACACACGCACACACACCGCACGCACACACACACACACACACACGCACACACACCGCACACACACACACACCGCACACACACACACACACACCGCACACACGCACACGCGCGCAAACACACACACCGCACTCCCCCACTCACCGGGCAGTGACGGCGGCGCCAGCGACGGCACCATCATGGGCCCGGCTCCCGCGCCAAACGGGCCGTACCCGGCCATCGTCGCGGCGCCACCGCCGCCGCCGCCGCCGCCGCCGCCGCCGACCCCCACCGCCGCCGCTGCCGGGACAGTTGTGGGCAGCGGTTGTTGCGGCGGCGGAGGCTGCTGGCGCGGGTGGTGCGGTTGTGCCGTCGGCGCGAGCTGCTGGCGGTGGTGGTGGTGGTGTTGCAGGGGAGCGAGCGGGGGCGAGCGGGGGGCGGCGTGGGGGAGGCTGGGGGAGTTCTCCCACGCCTTGCGAGCAAACTCCATCTGCGGACACGAGCACACGCACACACAGACACACAGACACACACAAAGACAAAGATCCCACCCCCGTATAGCCTTCAACAGACTGTTGGGGCAAGTGCTGCTAGCGACCGCCTATGAAGGCCGGCCCTGCGGCACACGTGGGGGGGTGGGCGGCCAGCACCACGCCCGACCGCCTTTGTCTCCCCGGTGGCGATGTTGGCACACGCACAGGCACACGCATACCCGCTCACTCACCCACCCACCCACTCAATCAATCACGCACCCACAATCACACGTCACCTCGCCCACACTTTCACTAAAACCCACACAACTGACCCCAACGCCGCTCTGCGTCTTTGAAGCTTTCGTGACTGCAGGAATCCATAATCGTAAAGTCGCACGCACACACGCATGTGCACGTACAGCAGCAGCCATCACTCGGCAGTAAGTGACGGTGACATCGCAACAGCGCTTTAGCCAAGCGAGCTTCACTTTGAGGCCAATTGAATTGTCTGCAGCTCGCCGGCAGAAGGTCACGGGGACGGAGCCCGGGTGCCCAATGGGTTAACCGACTCGACATGAGTGGCTGATGCACCACCTGTGCTTGCCCACTGCTGCCAACTCGCTGCGCTGTATCCCCTCCCGGCGCTCCGCTCGTTGTTGCGAGCGTCGCTCCTTCGCCCCTCCGCTGCTGTTGGGGGGGGGGCGCGACTGCCTCCAGCCGCCCAGTAGCGTCCTTCACGAGCCTCCTCCTGCTCCTCCTCCTCCTCCTCCACAGAGGCCGATCTTGACACCGCCGGCACCGGTAGCCACAAGCGTCCGTCATGAGGTCATCATCAGGTCAATGACGGACGCCTGCGTCGAGCCCGAAACGTCGCCATTTATTTTACTTGATACCTACGTGATGGCTTGACCCGAGATAACCAAAAGGAGTGACGATCACATAATGGCACCAACACCGGGGTGACGCAAACGCTCGCGCTCCCCACCAGCGCCCTACTCCGTGTCTCCCCCGGTCACCTTGAGCGTGAGGTCGGCGGTGGCTGGAGAGTCGTGGGCGAGGTCAGAGCGCAAACCTCCGGGACGCGACGTCGACACCCCGGGCAGCGTCACCTGCAACGCACAAAGACAAAGGTTCCCCCACGTAGCCTTCAACCGACCGTCGGGGCAAGTGCTGTTTGCGAGCAGTGGCGCCCGTGAAGGAGGGGGTGGGGGGGGTGGTGTGGTCAGAGTGAAGCCCGGCTTCGCCCCCCCCCCCCTCGTGAGTCTCTCCCCCCCCCCCCCCCCGCGTCTCCCCCCCCCCGCATGTCTCCATCGTACCCTGGGCCCCAGGCTCTCGGCTGCAGACAGCCCAGACCCCGTCTTCACGTCTTCCGAAGACGCGAATCCCGGACTCTGCGCGACGAGACACGGGCAACACCACGCCCGACCGCGTTTGTCTCCCCAGTAGCGATGTTTACACACTGCACCAGGTACTCATTTCAGGCCGAGTCGACCTAGGGGAGGCTCAGGACCGGTTCAGATAATCATCTGGTCGTGAGCGGGAGGTTCGTAGCGCAAGCGCGCTAACCGCGACACTACCGCTCCCCACCTCACACACAACTCACACACCACACACACACACCCCACAACTCACACACCCCACAACTCACACACACACACCCCACAACTCACACACCACACACACCCCACAACTCACACACACAACACCCCACAACTCACACACCCCACAACTCACACACACACACCACAACTCACACACCACACACACCCCACAACTCACACAGACAGACACCCCACAGCTCACACACACACACCCCACAATTCACACACACACACCCCACAACTCACACACACACACCCCACAACTCACACACACACCCCACAACTCACACACCACACACACCCCACAACTCACACAGACAGACACCCCACAGCTCACACACACACACCCCACAATTCACACACACACACCCCACAACTCACACACACAAACACCCCACAACTCACACACACACACTCCACAAATCACACACACATCCCACAACTCACACACACACCCCACAACTCACACACACACACACACACCCCACAACTCACACACACACACCCCACAACTCACACACACAACACCCCACAACTCACACACACACACACCACAACTCACATACACACCACAACTCACACACACACACCCTACAACTCACACACACACCCCACAACTCACACACACACACCCCACAACTCACACACACAACACCCCACAACTCACACACACACACCCCACAACTCACACACACACACCCCACAACTCACACACACACCCCACAACTCACACACACACCCCCCACAACTCACACACACACACACCCCACAACTCACACACACACACCCCACAACTCACACACACACACTCCATAACTCACACACACATCCCACAACACACACACACCCCACAACTCACACACACACACCCTACAACTCACACACACACCCTACAACTCACACACACACACACCCCACAACTCACACACACACACACACACCCCACAACTCACACACACACACACACCCCACAACTCACACACACACACACACCCCACAACTCACACACACACACACCCCACAACTCACACACACACACACACCCCACAACTCACACACACACCCCACAAATCACACACACACCCCACAACTCACACACACAAACACCCCACAACTCACACACACCCCAGAACTCACACACACACACACCCCACAACTCACACACACCCCACAACTAACACACACACCCCACAACTCACACACACACCACACAACTCACACACACACACCACAACTCACACACACACACACACCCCAGAAAACTCACACCAGAAAACTCACACCAGACAACTCGCACACAGACTCGCGCACACACAACCAACACCACTACCGACGTTGGGCTGCCAAAGGTGCCGGAAACGCCCGCTCTCCGCGGTGCTTGTGCCGGCCCAGGTGCACGCGCACCTTGAACACGGGCGGGTGTGTGGCGCCGCTAGGCCCGTGCCCTCCGCCGTCGGCGCCAGCTGCGTGCGGAGTCCTCTCCGGCCTCCGCTGGCGCAGCCAGCGCTCCTTGCCGATGGGGCCAGGCCGGTGCTCCCCCGCGGAGGGCCCCCCCCCTCCCGTGACCCCCCCCACGCCGGCGCCGCCGGCCAGCGCCACACGCACCGCCTCGCCCAGCTGGCAGCGAGCAGGAGGGGGGGAGGGGGGGGGGGGCGGTCACACACCCGCTCGCTCGCTCGCCCGCCCGCCCCATCCACAACTCAGTCACCTACCTGCCCACCCACTCGCCCACCAACCAACCAACCAACCCACCCACCACCAATTCAATCACCCACCTACTCGCTCACTCAATTACTCGCTCACTCCATCCCCCACCCACCAAACCACCCACCCACTCACCCACCCAACCACCTACCCACCCACTCACCCACCCACTCATTAGCTCACCCACTCAATTACTTGCTCACTTAATCCCCCACCGACCAAACCACCTACCCACTCACCCATTAACTCACCCACAACCACCCGCTCACTCACTCACCTACTCACTCACCCACTCACTAAACCGTTCATTCACTCACCCACTCAATTACTTGCTCACTCAATCCCCCACCCACCCTACCACCTTCCCACCCACTCATGAGCTCACCCACTCAATTATAAGCTCACTCAATCCCCCACCCACCCACTCTCCGACCCACTCTCTGACCCACCCACCCACTCACCCACCCACTCACCCACTCACCCACCCACTCACCCACCCACCCACCTCTCGAGCGTCTCCTCCGAGAGCCCCCGTCACCATCGCCGCTCTCTGCTCCTTGGCTTCGGGCAGAGCGGATGAGGAGGCGGACGAGGAGGTGGTGGACACCGGAGCCGACGCCGACGCCGATGCCGTCGACGAGGTTGAGGATGAGGACGAGGAGTTGGAATCGTCCGAGCTACTGGCCGATGCTGGGGCACTCACTGACGAGGTGGAAAAGAAGGAAGAGGTCGAAGATGACGATGATGACGAGGAGGAGGAGGAGGCGGCGTGCGGCGGCGGTGCCGTCGGCGAGAAGGCTGCCGCTGGCATCCCCCGCGTGACGGCCGCCAATTCACCACTACGGCTCTCGTGCCAGGCTAGGTGCACCTCGAGGCCATCGCGTGAGCGAATGAGTGGGTGAGTGAACGACGAGCGGGTGAAGGGGTGGGCGAGTGAATGGGTGAGTGAATGAGGGGGTGGGGTGAGTGAATGAGGGGGTGGGTGGGTGGGTGAGTGAATGAGCGAATGAGTGGGTGAGTGAATGGGTGGGCGAGTGAAGGGGCGAGTGAATGAGGGGGTGGGTGGGCGAGTGAATGAGGGGGTGGGGGGGTGGGTGAATGAATGAGCGAATGAGTGTGTGAGTGAATGGGCGAGTTGAGTGATTGAGAGGGAGACTGAATGGGCGACTGAATGAGCGGGCGAGCGAGTGATAGCAAGTTTGTGAATGAATGAGGGAAGACTGTATTCCACACCTCCCCCCACACCTCCCCCCACACCTCCCCCCACACCTCCCCCCACACCTCCCCCCACACCTCCCCCCACACCTCCCCCCACACCTCCCCCCACGTTTTCCCCCCCACGTCCCCCCCCCCAGACCTTGCCACCCCACACCTCCCCCCCCCACGTACCCCCCCCACACCTCCCCCCCACCTCCCCCCGCCATCTCTCCCCACGTTTCCCCCCCCCACGTCCACCCCCCCAGACCTTGCCACCCCACGTCACCCCCCCCACGTCCCGTCCCCCCCCCCTCAACACCTCCCCCCCCCACGTCCCGTCCCCCCCCCCTCAACACCTCCCCCTCCCACGTCCCCCTCCCACACCTCCCCCCCCACGCCCCCCCCCCACACCTCCCCCTCCCACGTGCCCCCACCAGGAGACTTGGCGGTCCCATAGGGTGAGCTGCGCTGTGAGGAGTTGGCCGACGATCCGTGCGAGTCCATGCTGAGGTCCACGCCGCTGTCGTGCTGGCTCGCTCGCGGCATCTGGGGGAGACAAAGGCGGACGGGAACGGTGGGGGGGCGGGGGGGGGGGGCTGAACGATTTGGCGAAGATATTTCATCGCGATTTTTCTGACAGGTATTGCGATTTAATTTGCGATTATATTTTTTCAAGTCAAGCTTCAGTTCAATAAAACACGTGATGGAGCATTACCACGTGATACCATCATGTATATTAACTGCTCTATATATTCATATAATATATATTTTATTATTTTATTGTTTCCCTTCAACGTGACTTTACCGAAAGCGATAAGAATACGAATTACTGCAGTCACGAAAAAGCCTTAAATCAAAATTTTCCCCATATATTCTAATGCCAGGATGAGAACTTAAAAGATATGAATTGCTTCCAACATGTATTTATTAAAAATGTTTTTTTTTTATAATTATTGAAACAGAACAATGAAACATAGAACAATTGTCAAGTCAAATTAAGTTAAAACAATTACAAAATGAAACAATTCCAATCGGAGCGTAACAGGACATTTTCGAATCGCAAAAAAAAAAATCGCAGCTTTTGCGATTTGCACATGGCGTCGCTTCAAATTGCGATTTCGATTATAAATCGATCGACCGTTCGGCCCTAGAACGGTGGAGGGGGCAGGGGGTGTGCGGGCGTGCGTGAGCGCCGTTCCGTCACGGGTCGCGGACACACAAAGCCAGCGCTGCTTGACATCCCGAGGTCTGTCTTGAGCGTCTGGCTCAAGGGGGGGGGGGGGGGGGGGGGGTCCACGGCCATCGCGATGGGCCCGTGTCTCCTACGCAGGGGGCCGCACCTCGGTGCCGGCCGCCACGTCCGCCACGCGGAAGGCAGCGAGGGGCTTGCTCCAGGCGCTCGCGGGCGGCAGGGAACAGCTGATCGCTCCAAACGTCGCTGTGGCACACGGCATTGTGGGAGGGAGACGTGGGGGGGGGGGGGGAGTTAGGAGGGATTGGGTCACGCGCGTGCGTTGAAACTTCTTCCGCACCGCACGTAGCCAACACCGTGGGGGTGTGGCGGTTAGCGCGGTGTACGCCACACGAACGCGGCTAAGACCCCGGGGGGGGGGGAGGGGGGGGTGTTCGATTCCCGCTCATGGCCGACGATTATCGGACTCGGCCTCAAATGCTGCGGCCGTGCCAAATAATAAGAGAAACGATGACCAAAAAAAAAAATCATCGCCACTCGGGGCGACAAAAGGAGGCGGTTGCCATCACCACCCGCCCACCGCCCACCACCGCCCCACGCACTCGCTCACTCGGCCGGCCATTACGAACCCACGCTCACATTTCTTGACGACTTCCGGCAGGAGGGAGGGCGACCGCGGCAGCGCCTCCCACGCGGCGTCTCCTCCTCCTCCTCCCCCTCCTCCTCCTCCGCCCGGTGCCCTCTGCTGCCTCCGTCCGGACGACGCCGTAGCCGCCGCCGTAGCCGCCGAGTGATCGGCGGCCTTCCTGTCGCCGCGATCGCACAGCGGCAACGGGAGCTCGCCGACAAGTCTGCCGGACAGAGCCGGGTGGGACGCCGCTGTCCCCTCCTGCTGCTGCTGCTGGTGCTGCTGCTGGTGCTGCTTGCGGGCGAAGCGAGGCGGCACGTTGGAGCGCTGGGCCTTCGTCTTGTCGACGGCGCGCGCTTTGGAGGCGCCGATCGTCGGCGCGGTTGCCGTGCCGGCGTTGGCGGTCTTATTGGGAGCGGCCCAGGGCGGGTGGACGTGCGTGTGTGTGTGTGTGTTGTGGAGGGGGGGGGGGGAGGGTAGTAGGGATGGGCGGGTGGAGAAAGAAGATGGGGGGGGTTGAAAGGTCAAAAAGTCGTCACGGAGCTAGGAACCAAATGCCAACGAAAGGAATCTAAGCACAATTGACGTTCGTGGATAAGGGGGTACCCCGATATATACACACGTGTATATATACACACGTGTGTATATATATACACGTGTGTATATATATACACGCTCATCCGGCTTACGATGGAGGTCGGTCGAGCGTTAGTCTCCAGGTGGGAGGGTGCCCCTACTGGACATTCGTGAAAAAAAAAGAGCTGCACAGCTCATCAGATTTTCTCCCCAAAAAAAAAAGAATCAAGATTCCGATCCGAGACTCACCCGGGCCCCCCGCCCCGGCCGCTGCCCTCGGCTGCCCCCGGGGGGCCTCGTTGGCGTTGCCTCGGGGGGGACTGCCCCCATACACCTAGCCCCAGGTGCAGTGACCCCCCCCCCCCCAACCCCCCACCCCTCCAAGGCGCAGGCCCTCACGTAATGGGCGAAGGCCGTAGGCTAACGGAGCATCACGACGGCGTTCATTCGAGCCGACGGCCGAGCCAAGCGAACGCCCCTGCTGGTATGAAAACCCCGGCGGGGGGGGGGGGGGGGGGGGAAGGCCCGCGGGGCCGCTCGCTCGCTCGTGCTCACGGAGAGGCCCCGGTCCTCGTGCTGCCGGCGCTGACGTCGCGAAACCACCGGCGTGAAGCCGTCCACGGAGGCCGCAGCGCCGCTGCCGCCGCCGCCGCCGCCGCGCGACAGCACCGGCACCACCTCTCCGTCCTCCTCCTCTTCTTCATCTCCCGCACACCCGGCCACCTCCTCCTCCTCCTCCTCCTCGTGATCTTCGTTGTCTTCGTCGTACACCTTCGGGCGGTGGTCGATCACCACCACGCCTAGCGGTGGTGGGGCGGGGAGGGTGGGCGGGGGAGCGTGGGGAGGTGGAGAGGAGAGGTCTGGGTCTCAAACGAGTAGCTGGTGAGCTGGGGGGAGACAAAGATGGCCACCCGCTCCCGCTGCTGCTGCTGCTGCTACTCACGAACAGAACTTGGTGAAATTTCTCTTGGGTCACCACCGCCGCTATCAGACAAATCTAAACGCAAAAAAATAACTCCTTTTTTTCTGAAGAACTGCTTCTTGTGTTTAGTTTGTCGTCCTTCCCCCGCACACTCCCATTGGCATGGTTGGCTACGTACGGTGCGAAATAAGTTTACCATACGTACGACACTACACACTACACTACACACTCACGACACACTAAAATACACTACACTATACACTACAACAGACTACACACTACACCACGATACACGACACCACAATAGAACTGCTTCTCGTGTGCTCGTTTGTTGTCCTTTCCCCCCCCCCGCACCTCCGATTAGCGCGGTTTGGCTTCGTACGGTGCCAAAGAGGTCCAACACACAAAGACAAAGATCCCCCGTATAGCCTTAACAGACTGTAGGGGCAAGTGCTGTTAGCGAGCAGCACCTATGAAGGCCGGTAACGGTACACGAGGGGGTGGGTGGCCAGCACCACGCCCGAAAGCCTTTGTCTCCCTAGTGGCGATGTTTACACACCGCACCAGGTACTCATTTGAGGCCAGGTCGACCTAGGGGAGGCCCGGGACCGGTTCCGATAATCGTCACTGGGTGTTGGCCGTGAGCGGGAATCGAACCCGGGTCGCCAGGTTCATAGCGCAGCTTAGCGCTAACCGCTACACTATAGCTCCCACAACACACACACACAGACACAGACACCCACACCACCGCACGTTCACCACCACCACTAAGCAACCACCATCATCACTACCACAGGCGACATCTCCACCAGCACCACCTCTCTCCAACACACACACACACACAGACACCCACACCACTGCACGTTCACCACCACCACTAAGCAACCACCATCATCACTACCACAGGCGACATCTCCACCAGCACCACCTCTCTCCAACACACACAGACACACACACACCGCACCAGCACCGGGCAACCACCACGCTTGACCACCGCCATCAGCACCACACCAACCACCGGTGCCACCGCCACCACCCTCTCACCCGCGTAGTTGTTGAGGTCGAACTGCGCCAGCGCGTCAGTCTTCGCCGACCTCCTGCTGACGCCCACTCTGCCCTGATGCTGCACCCCGTGCAGCTGCTGCTGCTGCTGCTGCTGCCCTTGCTGGCGCTGCTGCTGCTGCTGCTGCTGCTGCCGCCCCCCGAAGCCGTCACCGAGCCTCCGGGCGGCGCTGGCGGCGTTGGTGACGGCGCGGGCGATGGCGTCCGGGTCGCTGGGGATGACGCGGTCGACGCGGAACACGGCGGCAAACGGGGAGACGGCCGGCGCCACCGCGGCCGCTCCCGCCGTGGGGGGCTTCCGAGATGGGGGGGGGGCGCTGATCAACTCTACGGTTCCGTGAAAGTGGTGGTGAAAGTGGTGGTGTTGCTGGTGACGATGGTCATGGTAGTGATGATATTAATAGCGGTGACGATGGTGACGATGGTCATGGTAGTGATGATATTAATAGCGGTGTTGCTGGTGACGATGGTCATGGTAGTGATGATATTAATAGCGGTGACGATGGTGACGATGGTCATGGTAGTGATGATATTAATAGCGGTGTTGCTGGTGACGATGGTCATGGTAGTGATGATATTAATAGCGGTGTTGCTGGTGACGATGGTCATGGTAGTGATGATATTGATAGTGGTGGTGGCGATGGTGTTGATGTTCACGGTAGTGATGATATTGACAGTGGAGGTGGTGATGATGATGATGGTGTAGTGATGATGTTGACGGTGGTGATGGTGTTGCTGACGGTGGCGATTATGATATTGATAGTGGTGGCGGTGGTGGTGGTGGTGATCGTGTTGGTGACGGTCGTGGTGATGATGATGTTGACGATGGTGTTGGGAGGCGATGTTTGGCGATGACGACGACGGCACGCTGCCTCTCACCGATTCGCGGGCGTCGGCGCCGTCCGGAGCAGGGGAGATGGCTCGTGTCCCCGTGTCTCCAAGCGCGTCCTCCACAGAGCTGAGACACCGCAGAGACAAGGAGATTGATTGGTGTCTCCCTGCCTCTCCACCTCTCCGTGTCCCCACCCTCGTGTCTCTCCCCCTCACTTCCGTCTCTGTCCTCTCCTGCCTCCCTGTCCCCCCGGTGTCTCCCCCCCGTGTCTCCCCCCGGTGTCTCCCCCCGGTGTCTCTCCCCGGTGTCTCCCCCCCGTGTCTCCCTCCCGCGTCTCCCCCCGGCGTCCCCCCCCGGCGTCTCCCCCTCGGCGTCTCCCCCCCAGGTCTCCCCCCCGTGTCTCCCCCCCGTGTCTCCCCCCCGTGTCTCCCCCCGTATCCCCCCCCGTCTCCCCACCATTGTCTCCCCATCTCCACGACTCTCCGTCTCTCTCTTTCCCTTGCGTCTCCGTCCTCCTGCCTCCCCTGTCTCCTGTGTCTTCCCCTGTACCTCCCCCGTCTCTCCATCTCCCCGCCTCCCCATCTCTCTCCCTCCGTTGTGTGTCTGTACACCCACCTCCCTGTCTCCGCCTCCCCTCTCGCGCCTCCCCGTCTCCCCGCCCTCGTATCTCCCCCACCCCTGTGTCTCCCCGTCTCCCTACACCTTGCGTCTCTATCCTCCTGCCTCCGTCTCATGCGTGTCTCTCCCCCCGTGTCTCTCCCCCCGTGTCTCTCCCCCCGTGTCTCCCCCCCCCGCGTCTCCTCCCCCCGCGTCTCTCCCCCCACGCCTCTCCCCCCACGCCTCTCCCCCCACGCCTCTCCCCCCACGCCTCTCCCCCCACGCCTCTCCCCCCACGCCTCTCCCCCCACGTCTCTCCCCCCGCGTCTCTCCCCCCACGTCTCCCCCCCCACGTCTCCCCCCCCACGTCTCCCCCCCCATGTCTCCCCCAATGTCTCCCCCCGTGTCTCCCCCCATTTCTCCCCCCGTGTCTCTCCTCCCGTCTCTCCATTTCCACGACTCCCGCCCCCACCCCCCTCAACTCCCATCACCCCCCTCCCTCTACCTTCCCATACCCCCCCCAACACCCCCGCGCCTCACCTGCGCCTCCTGCCCTTCGACCCTGGGCCGTTCCTCTTGTCTGCCCGCGTGGAGCCCGCGGGGCTGGCCCGCTGGTGCCGCCCCCCTCCCCCTCCGCCCGCGTAGCCCTGGCCCTGGCCGGCGCCGTTGCCCACCGGCCGCCGGTTCTGGCGGTCGAGGGGCCGCTGGCTCGAGAAGCTTCGCTTGGCCGCCGCCGCCGACCCCGGAGCGCCGTCCTTGCGGCCGCCCCCGCCGGACTCCGACAGATCTGCCCGGGGGGGGGGGGGGGGCAGGCAGCAAGGTTGATCACGAGCAGCTCGGAAATCACTCGAGACCGACCGCGGCCCGGCCGGTCGAGCGCGTGGATCACCGAGCGGGTTACGAAGCCAAAGGGCGCTCGCCCGCCAAGCGGCGCTTGCCGCCTTAGCGTCCGCTCACCGTCGGCCGCCGTCCCCTCGGGCGCGGGCCCGGGCGCCGGCGCCAGGGCGGCCTGCAGCGACTCGTCGCGCTCGTCGCGCTCGCGGCGGTCGTTGAAGTCGCTGCTCTCCGAGGCCGTCTCCCACTCCTCGTTGGCCTGGTCCGACGAGTTCTGATTGGACAGGTCCGGCGACTTGCTCCCCGACGCCGCGCCGCCGCCGGCGCCGTTCGCTCCGCCGGCGGCGGCGGCGGCGGCCGCCGAGTTGAGCTGCGCCGGCGCGTCGCTCGAAACCGCGGCCGCGCCGTTGTTGTTGCCGCCGCCGCCGTCGTCGTCGTCGCCCGCCGGCGTCGGCGACGGCAGCGGTGACAGAGTCTCCACCGAGCCGGCGCTGCCCGAAGCCGCGGCCGCCGCTGCAGCCGCGGCCCCCGCCGCGGCCGCGGCGGCGGCCGCGGCCGCAGCGGCCGCGGCAGCTTCGCGCTCCTGCTTGAGGCGCCGGAAGCGCGGCGGTTTGTCCTGGCGGGGCGGCCGCGCCGGGCGCTGGCGCCGCGGCGGTCGCTCGGCCCGGCAGCGGTCGTTGAAGCAGGGCCGCCCAGCGCCGTCCGCCGGCGGCGGCCCCCCCGCCGCCGCCGCCGCCGAAGACGCCGACAGTGGGCAGCAGCAGCAGCTGTCGGGGCCGGAAGGGCAATCGGCGCAATCTGCCGTAGGGAGCAAGGGGGGGGGGGGGGGGAGGGGCGGCGGTGAGGTACCGGGGGATCGAACCCACGGTCTGGGGATGGGCACCGGCTGTTGTGGGGGGGGGGTGGGGGGGGTTACGTAGATCGTAACCTGCCCCCCCCCCCCCCCCCCAAACACGCCCTCCTCCGCTTTCCCCACTGGCACGCAGCGACCTCGCGCACCGTTGGCTCAGGGTGGGGGGGGGGGCCAAGCAGGGCCAGGGGCGAGGTCCTATCGATACGTTCACCCCGTGCGACACCGTGGGTTTAGCGAAGCCGAATGATGACCTTAGACCCCCCCCCACACACACCCAACCCAACCCGCCCCCCCCCAATCACCAATAACAAAAAAAACACACCGTCACGTTAACTTTGCTTGTGCATTCAATTTGGGGGGTGGGGTTAAAGTCCCGTCGCTCGAGGAAGGAATTCACGGAGGCAGCTCTGCGACAATCCGCCTCCGCTGGGGGGGGCCCGTCTCTCCAAGAGGAACGAGGGGGGCGGGGGTGGTGTCTGTCTGCCTGTCTGTTGCTTGCACGCAGGGGAGGGCTCCCCACTCCCTCTCCCAGGCGACGTCTCCATCCTTCAGCGTCCTCTCGCAGCGCGACGCGCGAGACGGGAGACCGGGACATCTGCGGCCGAGCGCTTTGAAGCCGACCGTCCGACCCCTCCGGCACACATTGGGTAAACCAAGAGGCTCTTCTCCGTCCGTCCGTCCCGGCTAATCGGTCTCACATGTTTTTATTTGTTCGTTTATATATGTGTTAATATTACATTATACATCAAGGTCTCCGAGTTCCCCAAGTACCCACCACCACCACCCTCCCCCGGCGTAAGCGTGAATTGGCGTGAGTTGGGTGTTTCGCCTATAAGACATATATATACTATATCACTACTATATACTACATCACTATATAACTACACGGGTGCAGATGTAAAAAGTAAGTGTATATAATAAGTGTTTAACAGAGTACAGTACTGTACGGTAAATGAGTCGCTGGTCGTCTGCACGTTACAAATGCGAAGGATGCGAGCTTTGGTGACACCCGTTGCTCACGCGCGCGGGGGGGGCGGGGGGGGCGGGGGGGGGGCGGGGGGGGCGGGGGGGCGGGGGGGGCGGGGGGGGCGGGGGGGGGCGGGGGGGGGGCGGGGGGGGGGGCGGGGGGGGGGCGGGGGGGGGGGCGATGCTGCGGGTTACGCGCCGTGGTCGGGCGAGCCTCCGGCCAAGGACGGGGGGACAAGACGGAGGGAAGCTCTGGCCGTGGCCTCGTCTCCCACGGGGGATGAAGGGGCCTAACGACGTAGGGTCACAGTGCGTGCGCGGGTCTGGCGAGATGGGCGGGCGGGCGGCGCGACTGGCCCCGGCTTCCCGCCGCCCCGTGCGTGCGAGCGAAAGTACGAGTCGCGTCGGGGGTGTGTGTGCGTGTAAGCATGAATCGGGGAGGGGGGGGTGGAGGGCGTACTCTAGACACCTTACCGTACGTAACAACGTTTGTACGTATGAACCAAGGTCACGTATTAATGCAGACATGATTCCTCGTACAGGAAAACCTTGGATTGCGAGTAACTTGGCCTGCGAGGTGTTTTGCAAGACGAGCAAAAATTTGCAAATAAATATTAACTTGATAAACGAGCGAAAGTACGAGTCGCGTCGGGGGTGTGTGTGTGTGTAAGCATGAATCGGGGAGGGGGGGGGGTGGAGGGCGTACTCTAGACACCTTACCGTACGTAACAACGTTTGTACGTATGAACCAAGGTCACGTATTAATGCAGACATGATTCCTCGTACAGGAAAACCTTGGATTGCGAGTAACTTGGCCTGCGAGGTGTTTCGTAAGACGAGCAAAAATTTGTAAATAAATATTAACTTGATAAACGAGCGAAAGTACGAGTCGCGTTGGGGGTGTGTGTGTGTGTAAGCATGAATCGGGGAGGGGGGGGGTGGAGGGCGTACTCTAGACACCTTACCGTACGTAACAACGTTTGTACGTATGAACCAAGGTCACGTATTAATGCAGACATGATTCCTCGTACAGGAAAACCTTGTGGATTGCGAGTAACTTGGCCTGCGAGGTGTTTCGCAAGACGAGCAAAAATTTGCAAATAAATATTAACTTGATAAAGGAGCGAGGGGGTCTTGCAACACGATCAGTAGCACGTGTTTCACGCTTTGTACTGCCGAGCGTCACGTGATCACGCAACTGACGTTACGGAGTGCTTTGATATGCGGAGTGCTTTGGATTACAAACACGTTTCCGGGAACGAACCGTGCTCGCAAATCCAAGGTTTTACTGAAAAAGGTTTCAGTTTGGTGTTTTAACATCTTGACAACTGTTTTGTCGCCGGAAAAAAAGGGGAAAACCTATTCCCAAGATTACACTAAATAATATATTCGTCTTGATTTGAAGCTTTCGTGACTGCAGGAATCCATACCCTTTGGTCCTTTCGGTATTTCTAACCACATGATTTTACCGCCTCGCACGAGCGATGGTAACGGTGGCACGCGCTGGAAACGTGTGAAGCACCTCGCACACAGCCCCCATACCCTCCACCGCTACCACCCATTGCCCTGCGGCAGTTCGGCCTCACTACCCCGATCACTACCTACCCCGATCACTACCTACCCCAATCACTACCCCTTTCATAATCCCTATAACTACCACTATCACTACCTCTACCACTACCCCTATCAACAACCCCTATCACTACCCCTATCATAATCCCTATCACTACCTACCCCAATCACTACCCCTATTCCAAACCCTATCATAACCCCCATCACTACCTCTACCCCTATCACCACCCCTACACCTATCACCACCCCTACCCCGATCACTATCAAAACCCCTATCACTACCCCTACCCCTATCACCACACCTACCCCGATTGTTATCCCAACCCCCTATCGCCATCCCTACCGCTAATCCCTGCCCTGGTCTCCAGCTAAAACCACGCTTACCCCAACCCCTCCTTAACCACTTCCGTCTGTTCTCTTGCCACCGCATAACAGCACTGAAGCTATAAAACTAGCTCCTTTTTCAAAAGTGACCTGGCCACAAACGATGATAGCTAAACGAAGTGGCTTATCACGTGGAAATTTACAGCAGCCAACTACTCTAAACGCGTGATGATTCTAAATGTGGGGGGGGGGGGGAAACTGGAGGACCCGGAGAAAAATCCACACGACCACGGAGAGAACATGCAAACTCCAAATATACAGCAGGCATTGTCAGGGTCGGGATCCAACCCACGACCTCCTGTATACCAGGGCAAGGTAGTTAACATCTCGTCATATTCAAACTCAAAATATACAGCAGGCATTGTCAGGGTCAGGCTCGAACCCATAACCTCCTGTACACCAGGCGAGGTAGTTAACATCTCCTAGCCACATGCAAACTCCAAATATACAGCGGCAGGCATCATCAGTGTCGGGATCAAATCCACGACCTCCTGTATACCAGGCGAGGTAGTTAACGTCTCCTAGCCACATGCAAACTCCAAATATACAGCAGGCGTCACAGGGTCGGGAAGGAACCCACGACCTCCTGTATAGCAGGCGAGGTAGTTAATATCTCCTAGCCACATGCAAACTACAAATATGCAGCAGGCATTGTCAGGGTCAGGATCGAACCCACAACCTCCTGTACACCAGGCGAGGTAGTCACCAACATCTCAAAGCCACCTGCAGTATTGACCGAGAAGGTGAGGGGCTGCCCCCCCCCCCGCCTCCTTCCTGGATTGTAACCGCGTGAAACCTCTGCCAAGTGCCCTTAACAAAATTCGTCGGCTCCAATTGCAACGGGTTCCTTACGCTCAGAATACAGGCAACGCGTGGTGCGCATGACAATGGTTTTATTTTGTACGCAAATGGCTGCGAGAAGAGACCGTACAAATGGGACAGTGACAAAAGTTTGATGGGATACAAGGGGGTCAGGGGGGAGGGGGGGAGGGGGGGAGGGGGGCGACGTCGGGGTACAAAGCTACGAGAGACACAAAGGCAAGGCCGTCGAATTCTCCCATCGGACTGCGGGTCGCGAATGGCGATGATTTCTGCGGAGGAGGAGAGGCTGGGGGGGAGGTTGTTTGTTTTTTTTTCTCGTCAATCCCGGCCTAGAATCCAATGCCGGCAGCACCACCAGCCACGGCCAACGGTGCCGCCGTAGTCGTCACCACAAGCACCACAATCAGCCTATTAACAAGACTGTCCGGCGCAAGTGCTGCTGGCCGAGTAGCGCCTATGAAAGACGGCGCGGTGGGCGCACGATGGGGTGGGTTGGCCAGCACCAAGCCCGGCCGCCTTTGTCTCCCCAGCAGCGATGTTTACACACACTGCACCAGGTAGTCATTTGAGGCCGAGTCAATCTAGGGGAGGGCCCAGGACCGGTTCAGATAACCGTCACCCGGTGTTGGCCGTGAGCGGGAATCGAACTCGGGTTGCCGGGTTCGCAGCGCGGCGCAGTAACCGCCACACTACCGCTCCCCCAACGTACAAACTACCACAATCACCGCCATCACCACTACCACCATCATCATCATCACTCGCACCACCGCAACAATCACCACCCCCAAAAGCCATCACCATCACACTACCGGCATCACTACCATCACCACCATCACCACCACCGCCACCGCTTTAGCACTCACAACACAAGACCCGTTAGTCTCTGCGGGTCTTGCGGTCCTCTCCACGTCTCACCGTGCTGGTGCTGGCGCTGCTGCTGGTGCAGCTGCTGGTGCCGTGCCGACAGCACCATGCTGGCGCGCGCCACGCCCCGCGACAGCGCCCCCCCGCGGCCCCGGCGGCTCGGCTCTCCCCTCGGCGCAAACGGCCGGTCCTGCTTCTCTTCGCCCGCGGCCGGCGATGGCGCCGATGCCGACGACGCCGCCGCCACCGCCGGCGCCACGGCGGCTCTCGCCGCTCCAAACCCCACCGCCTGCTGCTGCTGCTGCTGCGGCTGCTGCTGGTCTAGCCCGAGCAGCCGAGCTGGTGCCGACAGCTGCTGCTGCCCACGGTTGACGCCGCCGATGCCGCCGCCGCTGCCGTTGTTGCTGGTGCCGGACGCCTCTCTCTTGCCGGTGCCGCCGCAACCGTCCAGCGCGTCGCTCTCGGCGTCGCTCACCGACGCCCGCTGCTGCTGCTGCTGCTGCTGCTGGCGCCGCCGCTTTGCCAGCTCCGCGCCGGCGCCACCGCCGCCGGTGTCGGAATTCTCGCTGTCGTCCTCCGCGCCCCACTGCCCGCCGCTGGCGCCGCCGTAGCGGAAGCGCGAGTCGCGGGAGCCTGGGAAGTCGCGGTGGTGCCCGGTGCCGGCGCTGGCTCTGCCCCGCGTCGCCGGTGAGCAACCGGCGCCGCCGCCGCCGCACGTCCCACGCGACGCCGCCGTGAGCGAGCCGACAGCGCCGCCTCCCCCTCTCGACACCCTCGCGCCGCAGCCGGCGTTGGCGGCGAGCCCGCCGCCGCCGCCGCCGCCAATGGCGGCGGCGGCCGCCCCGCCGCGGCCGCGGAAGGCGCGCTCGAAGGGAGGGTCGCGACGGCGCGGGGGCCTCGATGGCAACACCCCGCCGGCGCTGCCGTCCTTGCCCCCGCCGTCGGCCGGGGGGAACGAGCGGTCGGGGCGCGCGTCCCTGCCGCCAGCCGCCGCCCCCCTGGCGCCCGGCTCCTTGCCATCCGCGCCGGGGTCGCCGCCCGCCGCCTTGCCGTCGGAGAAGCCGGCCGATTTGTCGTCCCGGTCGGCCGTCTTGAGGTCCTTGAGCACCGGCTTCTTGATGGGGCCGGTGCGGCGAGGAGGCTGCTGGTGCTGCTGCTGCTGCTGCTGAGGCGGAGCAGAGTTGCCGCCGGCCGCGGCGGCGGCGGCGCCGGCCGCGGCGGCGCCGGCCGTGCCGCCGCTGGAACCCGGCTTGGGCCCCCAGCGGGTCTCCAGCTTGCCGTCCTTCCAGTGCGGCGGCTTCGCAAAGTCGCCGGCGCCGCCAGAGGCCGTGCTGCTGCCGCTGGTGCTGCCGGCGCTGGGCGGAGTGGCGGCCTTGGCGCTGGCCTTGCCTGCGGGAGGCGGGGGAGGAGGATGAGAGGTGGGGGGGGGGGGGCCCAGACCGTGAGGTTGTTGCGGGAGGTGGCGGTGCGTGGATTATCGTCATCAACCAGCCCGATTAGCCATCGCCGTGACAGGTACCAGCACCAGGTTCATCAACGCAAGCACCGCCCATCCACGCAACCAGCCACTCAACTGTAAAACCACCGCCACTACAACCACCACCACACGTTCACGAAAGCTAAACCTCGCAACACCATCCCTTTCACGGCGATACTCTTCATTAATTTGTCCACTCGTTTTTAATTTTGCTTGGCAACAGGGTTTCCAAGTGCTTGGTAGCGGCTCTATATGGGATTTGGTCCTCACATATAATGGATGTACGGCAAGGCCTCCAAGTACGCGGGGGCTCAGTCACACGCTTTGTGCAGCCCGTACTTTCGTTCGCACGCACGGACGCCAAGCCGAGTAAGTCACGCGGCCCTCAACACATACTCTGAGGCCTTGCTGTACAGCGCTATGGGATACTATTAGCGTGAACGGCACGCTATTGTTATAATACCACAAACACCGCCGTGGCCACTTCAGTCACCACCACCACCACCGCCGCCGCCGCCCTCGCAACCAAAAGACAAAGAACCCCCAAAACGAGCCTATTGACAAGACTGCCGGGGCAAGCGCCGTTAGCGAGAAGCGCCTATGTAGGCCGGCACGGCACACGGGGGGGGTTGAGTGGCCAACACCACACCCGGGCCCGCCTTTGGTGCGATGTTTGCCACGCACCGCACCAGATACTCATTCGAGGCCGAGTCGACCTAGGGGATCGCCAGAAGACCGGTTCAGATAGCCCTCGGCAACCGCAACCACTTCCCACCGGCGCGCCGCTCGCTCACCCTCTCCCCTCTGCCGGGTGTCTCCCCGCGCCGACAATCCGGCCACCACGGCTCCGGCCCCGGGTTCTCGCTCCCTCTCGTCACCACGCGGGGCCGAGACGCCACCGCCTCCGCCGCCTCCGCCGCCTCCGCCGCCAGCTTCCTTCCTGGTGCCGGATGATTCTCCGCCGATCCTCCGCGGCAGCGGGGAGCGAGGCGAGTCGTCGGGCGAGGCGAGCTCGGCGTGCCGGTACAGCTGTGGGGGGGGAAGGGGTGGGGGGGGGGGGGTGGGTTAGTGGGGGGGGGGGGCAGGAGAGGAGCGGGGAGCGGTAACGACCAAGGCACACGATGGCCGCGCCGGCGTTAATTCCGGCGAAGGAGTTGGTGGACGACGGGGGGGGGGGGGGGGCGGGGGAACGCGACGGGCGCGGCGGCGATGGAGGGGCGGTAGCGCAGCGGTTAGCGCGCTTGCCCTACGGGACCCGGTGACCCGCGTTCACGGCCAACGCCAGTGACGATTACCCGCACCTCCGATTAGCAGCACGGGTTGGCCACGTACGGTGCGAGAAGAAGTTCAACGTACATCATCTGGTGCGGTGCGTCAACATCGCCACTCGGGAGGACGAAGGCGGACGGGCGCGGTTGCTGGCCACCCCGCCCCCTCGCGTGCCGTGCGCCGGCCTTCGTAGGTGCCGCTCGCTAACAGCACTTGCCACCAACAGTCCATTCGGGCTCTCCACGGGGAATCTTTGGCTTGTCTTTGTAGCGGCACACGCGTGTCCATCAGAACAGCGTGGAGCAGATTGGTGCAGGGGGTTGGGGGTTTGATCCCGGCCCTGACGCCTGTATATTTAGAGTTTGCGAGTTCTCCCCGTGGTCGCATGCATTTTTTTTCCCGGGGTCCTCCGAGTTTTACCCTCCACATTTATAAACACGCCTTCAGACTATTTCGATTATTTTGTTACCTACGAAAATGCCCAAATGATAAGCCACTTTTTGTTGGGCGTTCACTTGCGGCCAGATCACTTTTGACAAAATAAAGTTAACACCTCTGTGGGCTTGGTAGGATGGCGGATGGTCGAGTGTCGTATTTGTAATGCGTCTGGGCGATGTGTTTACCCGTCTTAATACTTTGCAAATGCTTTCGTGTTTTTTTGTAAATGTGCTTGTTGTTCTCACCCCGTAGCCCTGACTGGGCATCCGTGAAAAAGAGCTTCATAGCTCATCGGATCCCTCCCGCAAGTATAAATAAATATCCCGATTCTGTGCGTACGTGCGTGCGTACCAAAACGCGGCACGTGCTCGTGATCGATCCCCCACCCCCCACGTTTAATCGTCAGCCGCTGCGGCTCATCACGAACTGTCGAGGTGTGGCTGTGGTCGCGTTTCCCATCGCAGTCACTCTACCTTCTCGAAGTGCGGCGAGTGGTGCTGCTGCTGCTGCTGCTGGAACATCTGCTTGTCCCGGTAAGACCGCGGGGCCGATCGAATGCCGCCGCCACCGCCGCCGCCGTCAAACAGGTCGCGGTACATTGCCGGGACGTGGTGGTGCGGGGACACGTCGTCCGCGTCGAAGAGGTGGTGCTGCTGGTGCTGCTCGGAGCGCGAGCCCAGCACGAGGTCACGCCTGCGCCGTACAAACGCGCCGGACAGACGCGTTAAACGCGCGCGCGCGTACGCTCCGATGGCTCGGCTGGATTCCTGCCTGTCTGGGTGCGGTGCTCTCTCACCAGCGGTGACGCAGCCCTGGCGCCCCCCCACGGCGCCGGGCCGGGTTCCTACCCAACACCCCCCCCCCCACCCCCTGCCCTCAACGTCCTACGACCCCGCTCGCTCGGCGCCGTGGGAGGTAGGCCCTTCATCCGGCAGTGGATCGGCCCCCGTTGCCGCAAACTATTATCGTACTGCGCTCGACCAAAAAAAAAGCTTTGCTCGCTGGCGGGCCGCAAGTCTTTACAGAGAATCCCCGCGCACTGTCGTGGCCTCTTAGCCCTTTGCCTCCGGGAGGCGCCGTGAGGCTCCCCACAAGGCCGTGCGGCGGGGCAAGGGGGGCGCTGCGCGTGGATATCGGTCGAGCGGCGGCGGCGGCGGCGGCGGCCGTGTCGCTGCGGTTCTCCGTGGCGAGCAACGACGTCTCCAACCGCAGCGGCGCTGCCGCGTCCACGCCTCCACAACAGCGTACTCGAACCGCAAGAAATGCTGTGGGTTTACGCTCCGAAACACCGGGGGCGCTTCACAAAGCGACCTCGGCCGTGTCGGGTGGCGGTGGGCTTGACGACACGGCATCTACACATTCACGCGACCTGGCCCGACAAGCATTGGTCGCGGAAGGCCTACCGGGGCGTTGAACCACGACCAACGCCTCTCGAAATGAAATTTAACGCCGAGGCCGCTCACGCGTTCCGAGATTCAACGCCGAACGGAGCGCCCCCAACAGCCCTGCAATTTGCGGTCGTCTCGGAACGGGGAAGGGTTAACCCGACTGTTGGGGCCAGCGCTCTGAGCAGCGAGCAGCAGCAGCAGCGCCTGAGAGGGGGGCGGGGGAGCCCGAGGGTGGCCAGCGCCACCCACGCCCGGCAAACCCTGCGGACCCTGTGGCGTGAGCGACAGTTGTAACGTCCTGCTGGACGTCCGTGACAAGGAGCTTTCTGCAAATCATCCGATTCCTCCTGCGGTAATAACTGAACGATTCCGAGTCTGGTTGCACCCTGCGGACGGCCCGTAACCGCCTTGAGCACTCTCCCCCGTTACCGAGAGTCTTGCAGGAAGCGGGGAGGAGGCTGCTGCTGCTGCTGGTGCTGCTGGTGCTGCTGGTGCTGCTGCGGTGGCGGTGAGGTGGGGGTGACGGCGCCGGCGGAGGAAGGGGAGACGCGGCGCGTCGGCTCCGACGGTTCCGCCGAACCCCAGACGGCACGGGGGGGTGGCTCCGCGGGGGGCGTCGCTCGCTCCCGCAGCAGGAGTCCGGCCGGCGCTAGCGGGGGAGATCGGCGCAGGCCAACGGTTACACGACGAGCCGTAGCGGCGCCGGCGACGATGAGCCGGGGCACCGGGCGCGTGAATGCACAGCAAGGCGCGGTGGCACGATTGGTGGGGTTGAAGGGGGGGGGGAGGCAACGTTTTGGGTGGATCTGGCGGTCAGCGCCGCCGCTGGCGTAGGTGGGCGAGGGTGGCGCTGCTGCTACCGCTGGTGCATTAGGTGGGGTGATGGTGGTGATGGTGGCATTGCCGCTGGTGCATTAGGTGGGGTGATGGTGGTGATGGTGGTGATGGTGGCATTGCCGCTGGTGCATTAGGTGGGGTGATGGTGGTGATGGTGGTGATGGTGGCATTGCCGCTGGTGCATTAGGTGGGGTGATGGTGGTGATGGTGGTGATGGTGGCATTGCCGCTGGTGCATTAGGTGGGGTGATGGTGGTGATGGTGGCATTGCCGCTAGTAAATTAGGTGGGGTGATGGTGGTGATGGTGGTGATGGTGGCATTGCCGCTGGTGCTTTAGGTGGGGTGATGGTGGTGATGGTGGCATTGCCGCTGGTGCATTAGGTGGGGTGATGGTGGTGATGGTGGTGATGGTGTACATGTGAATGCTGAACTGCTTTTGCACCGCACGTAGCCAACCGTGCTAGGAGGAGATGGTGATGGTGGCGCTGCTGCTGCTGGTGGATTAGATGGGTGATATTCTTTGGGCCTTTCAGTAAAGCTGCGTAGGTAGGTTCAAAGCGCGGAGGTGGCTATGTTAATGTGAAAACAACAAATAATAAAAAAAATAAAAAAATAAAAAAACGACGACGTTTCGATCGCAACGCAAGCCCTTCGTCATCAGAAATAAATTAAAAGAGGGGGAAAGCTGCTTAGGCAGACTGTTTTAAATGTCTAGCCTCTTGTCTCGAAGTTTGTTAAAAGATGCGGTTAAATCTTGACTTAAAGCTTTCGTGACTGCAGGAATTCATATTCTTCGGGTCTTTCGGTAAAGCCACGTCGGTAGGTTCAAAGCGCGTCGGTGGCTATGTTAACGTGAAAAAAATAAAAAAAATATAAAAAATGGGCGGTGGTGGTGGCGGCGGTGCATTAGGCGGATGGTGGTGATGGTGGCGCTGCTGCTGCTGCTGGTACTGCTGCTGCTGCTGCTGGTGGTGCCACTGCTGGATGACAGAGGAGCGGGCGACTCACCCGCGTGACCTTGAGAGGGCGGCTGTGCGTTGGTGGACGCGACGCCGCCGCCGCCGCTGCCGTGCTGGAGGTAAGACTCCATCGCAGAGGCAGGAGCGCCGTCCGGGTGCTCCCGACGCAGGACCTGCTTCGGCGCCAGCAGGCCGGCTGTGGCAGCGGCGGCGGGGGGAGGAGAGAGGGAGGGAGGGGGGCGAGAGGATCCCGTTGGTGGTTCGGCGCGAGCACGAAAGGAGTGAGGCCGCCGCCCTGCAATTACCAGCGGCACACCCCCCCACAAAAGACAAAGATCCCTCCCCCGACGTATAGCCTCAACAGACCGTAGGGGCAAGTGCTGTTAAAGCGAGCAGCACCCTATGAAGGGCCGGCGGCACGCCCGGCCGTCTTTGTCTCCAGACAAAGGCAAAGGTCCTCCGTATAGCCTGAACACACTGTTGGGGCAAGAGCTGTTAAGCGAGCGCCCATGAAGGGCCAGCACCACGCACGGCCGCCTTTGTCTCCACAGTGGTGACGCTTACTACACATCGCACCAGGTAGTAACTTTGAGGCCGAGTCAACCTAGGGGAGGCCCGGGAGCGGTACAGATAATCGTCACCGGTGTTGGCCGTGAGCGGGAATCGAACTCGGGGTGACGGGTCTGTAGCGCGGTGCGCTAGCCGCTACACTACCGCTCTCCAGACACACACACACGGAACACGCACAACACGAACAAGCATAGATGGACTCATCTTCTTTGGTTCTTTCGGTAAAGTCACGTAGAATGAGAATAAAATAATAAATTGATAAAATTAAATAACACAATAATATTCTCACGACGTTTCGGCCACAACACAAGCGGCCTTCATCAGGTGAAGGGACGAGACTGTCTGGTAGGACAGCGCTGGAGTGAAAAAGCCACGTCGTGAGAATATTATTGTGTTATTTTATTTTATCAATTTATTATTTTATTCTTATTCTACGTGACTTTACCGAAAGAACCAAAGAAGATGAATCATTGTAGTCACGAAAGCTTCAAATCGAAAAATAAAAATCGATGGACTCGTCCGTCTGAACAAAGCTCGTCGCTTTCCGTGGTGCAAACGTTGAAAAGAAACCGCCACTTTTTCCGACATGGTTACATGCTAATCCCTCGCACTAACATTATGCTAATCTCCCAGTTACATGCTAATTTCTGACTTTAACATCCTGCTAATCTCTCACATTAACACAGCTACTTCACTGCTAAATTCTTCTGCTGATACAGTCTGTAAACTCCTTCGTCAAGGCGCTCCCGCTCCTCCCACCCAGCTTAAAAGACGCCGCGCCAAGCTTGGCAGCGCTCACTGAAGCGCCGTCTTCCCGACAGTTCTGTTTCTTCACCTGAGGAAGGCTACTTGTGCTGTGGCCGAAACGTCGCGAGAATTTTATTTGATTAAGTTTGATTATTTTATTTCCATTCTACGCGACTTCACCGAAGGAGCCAAGAAGACCAACAAGCGAGCGAGCGAGGCTTGACTCGCCGCCGCCTAGCTTCACCTGAAGGATGATGCATCCCTGCGGCTGCCTGCGTGGACGAGGAGCCGTGCCTCCCTCCCGCCTGCATCATTCGCGGGTCCATGTAGGTGGGCATCATCATCCAGCGCGGGTCGTAGCTGATGGACAGCGATGGCAACGGAGGCCCGGGCACCATCCCGCCCTGGTACTGAGTCCGCTGCTGCTGCTGCTGCTGCTGCGGTGGCGGGGTCAGCCCCGAGTGCGGCAGCTGCTGCTGCTGCTGCGGTTGCTGCTGATGCTGGTGCTGATGCTGCTGCCAGTGCTGCTTCAACAACTGCTCCTGCGGTTGGGCCGAGAGATGTTTCAGGACGTTAGTGCTCTCGCCGTGCGTGTGCGTGCGCGCATAGTGCGTGGCCTCAAAGTGCACCTGGGCCTGGCACAGGTGCCGTGGCGACGTCGCCGCCAGCGAGGGGCGAATGGCCCGTGCGCTCAACGTTGCCCCGGTGACACGAGTCGGATTTCCCACTCACGACCACGAACACCAACGGCGCCGATTAATCTGAACGGTCTCCTGGGCCTCCCCTCGGTCGATTCGGCCTCAAAACGAGTGCAGTGTGTGAACATCACCCAACAGAGAGAGCCCGGCGTGGTGCTGGCCACCCAACCCCCGTGTGCCGTGCCGGCCTACATAGGTGCCGCTGGCAAACAGCACTTGCCCCAAGTCCGTTAAAAAGGATATACGGGGGATCTTTGTCTTCGCGTATACACGAGCGCACCGCCGCCAGAGTGCACCTGGCCTGGCACAAGCGCCGGGGGTGACGTCGCCGCCGCTCAGTGGCGAACGGCGGCTGCTGTTGTTGCTGCCGTGTGTATACGAGAGTGTCACACCAACGACATATTTATTTTCGGGTTTGAGGCCACAGCGGCACGGAGGGATGCGTCGAGTCCACCTCGCGAGCAGTGGGCACGGTGCAAGCACCTCACGCAGAATCACCACCGCCAACCCACCCACACAACACCGCCAACCCACACCCACCCACCAAACCCACACCCGCCCACCAAACTAACACCCACCCACCAAACCCACACCCGCCCACCGAACCCACACCCACCCACCAAACCCACCCAACACCCGCCCACCGACCCAAACCCACCCATCTAACCCACACCCATCCACCGACCCACACCCACCCACACCCGCCCACCCGCTCACACCCATCCACCGACCCGCACCCACCCACACCCACCCACCCACCGCGCACGCCACCCCCCCCTCCCCATCCACCCACCAACCCACCCGCCCGTCAGCCCACCCACCCACCCACCTGCTGCTGGCGCTGGAATCTCGGCGGCAGCGTCTTCTGGAAGTGGCGGGAGTAGGCGTGCGCTGGCGCCCCTTGCTGCGCCACCATCGCCCCCCCCCGCTCCCTCGGCGGCCCCCCCATGCCCTCCCCCGCAGATTCCCCCGCCCCCCTCTCCTCGTCCGCGGGGGGCGGCGGCGGCGGCGCCAAGGCCGGCGCCAACGCCGCCGTCGCCGGGGCGGCGACAGAGGCTGGCGCCTTCGGCGCCAGCTTCTGAGGTGGCGGTGTCAGAGTCGGGGTTGGTGGTGGTTGTGTGGAAGCTGCCGCTGCCGCTGCTGCCGCTGCTGCTGCTGCGTTCTTGACGGAGCTGCTGCTGCTATTGCTGCTGCTGCTGTTGCTGCTGTTGGCGGTGGCGCCAGCGGAGAGGGAGGTGGAGACGGGGAGGGACACGCGGCCCGCGCCCTCTTTCCAGCCCGTCGGTGCCAGAGGGGGATCTGTGAAGGCACGGGCGCGCACCCGGGCGGTGGCAGAGAGCGAGGGGTTGAGTCGGCAGCTGAGCGAGCGAGCAGGTAGATGAGTGGGTGGGTGAGTTTGCGAGCGGGTGAGCGAGCGAGCAGGTAGATGAGTGGGTGGGCGAGTTTGCGAGCGGGTGAGCGAGTGAGCGAGCAGGAAGATGAGTGGGTGGGTGAGTTTGCGAGCGGGTGAGCGAGCGAGCAGGTAGATGAGTGGGTGGGTGAGTTTGCGAGCGGGTGAGCGAGCGAGCAGGTAGATGAGTGGGTGGGTGAGTTTGCGAGCGGGTGAGCGAGCGAGCGAGCAGGTAGATGAGTGGGTGGGTGAGTTTGCGAGCGGGTGAGCGAGCGAGCGAGCAGGTAGATGAGTGGGTGGGTGAGTTTGCGAGCGGGTGAGCGAGCGAGCAGGTAGATGAGTGGGTGGGTGAGTTTGCGAGCAAATGAGCGAGCGAGCAGGTAGATGAGCGAGTGGGTGGGCAAGCATGTGAGCGGGTGAGCGAGCGCGCAGGGAGACACGTGACAGTGGGTGGGGGTAGGCGGGCGAGTTCGTGAGCGGGTGAGCGAGGGTGTCAGCCGGTGAGCAGGCAGATGAGTGGGTGGGTAGCTCGGCGAGTTTTGCGAGCGAGCGACCGGCTACGCAGTCTCCAACCCCGGCCATTTAGAGCTTCGTTCACCCCCCCACCCCACCCCATCCCCGTACCGTGTGCCCCGATACTTCGATTGCCGGCTCCGCTCTCCGCGCCGATCCGGATCCGGCTCGTGCCGGCGCTACCGATGGCGCCGGTGACGCCGGCGCCGCCGCCGACCGCCGCAGCCTCCGCTTCTTTCTTTGGCGCCAGCACGGGAGCCGGCTTCAGCGGGGGGAGGGGCGGGGCGGAGCAGGTGGTGCCCGAGGGGAGGGGCGTGGAGGAAGAAGAGGAGGAAGAGGAGGAAGAGGAGGAAGAGGAGGGGGGGGCGGGCGAAGTGGTGGTGGTGGTGATGGAGGACGACGCAGCAGCAGCAGCTGCGGCGGAGGCAAGAGGAGGAGCAGCGGGAGCCGCTTTGAGCTCCGAGTCAGATCGGGGAGTTCGACTGTGAGAGAGAAGATGGGGAAAAGATGATGATGATGATGGGGAAGATGATGAGGATGATGACGAAGATGAGGATGACGATGATGAGGATGACGACGACGACGAGGAAGACAATGACGACGACGAGGAAGACAATGACGACGAAGATGATGACGACAATGATGACGATGACGAGGAAGACGATGACGATCATGAGGATGACGATGACGATGATGAGGATGATGATGAGGATGACGATGATGAGGATGACGAGGATGACAATGATGACGATCATGAGGATGACAATGATGACGATCATGAGGATGACAATGATGGCGATGATGAGGATGACGAGGATGACAATGATGACGATCATGAGGATGACAATGATGACGATCATGAGGATGACAATGATGACGATCATGAGGATGACAATGATGACGATGATGAGGATGACGATGATGAGGATGATGAGGATGACAATGATGACGATCATGAGGATGACAATGATGACAATCATGAGGATGACAATGATGACGATGATGAGAATGACGAGGAAGACAATGATGACGATCATGAGGATGACAATGATGACGATCATGAGGATGACGAGGATGACGATGATGACGATCACGAGGATGACGAGGGAAGGGAGGGAAAAGGGTGGAGGAGAGAGATGGGGAGGAGAGGAGTGAGCGCAGTAGGAGGCAGAAAATAGAGAGAGGGTAAACGGAGAGAGGAGTGAGAAGGGAGCAGGAGGAGCGTGCACAGAGATGGGAGGGTATAAAGAGAGGTGGCGAGAGTGATTCAGGTGAGCGAGCGAGGAGAGGGAACAGAGTAGAGAGAGATGGGAGAGGAAATGAGTGGGGGGGGGGGGGGAGAGATGCAGGGGAAACAGAGAGAGTGACGTGCGAGTCCAATTACACAGAGCTCCACTCACACAGAGCGGTACACAAACCAAGGCACAGCGCACGTACGGGGCACACAAACACCACGCCAACAACACGCAGTGCACAACACATGGGCCAGAGGACACCAAATACAAAGATCCCCCGTATAGCCTTAACATACTGTAGAGACAAGTGCTGTTACGAGCGAGCACCTATGAAGGCCGGAACGGTACACGATCGGGTGGTGGTGGTGTCCAGCACCAATGCCCGGCACCGGTTCAAATAACCGTCACCGGTGTTGGCCGCGGGCGGGAATCGAACTCGGGTCGCCGGGTTCACAGCGCAGCCTAGCGCTAACCACTCCACTACCGCTGTGCAGAGGAGACCGCACACACACGCGCACAGCACACGCGCGCACGACACACAAACTCCACCCTCCCCCATCGCCGGCGCCCACTCACGTCGCCAATTCTGCCGTCGCCGCCACCGGCGCCGCCGCGGCCCCGCCGTCGCGCGCCTGCCCGGTCCCCGCCGCCACCGCCTGCTGCTGCTGCTGCTGCCCTCCGCCGGCTTGCACCGTCGCCTGCGTCATCAGCATCATCTTCTCGTCGAGGCGCTTCAGCTTCTCGGCGCAAGCGGCCAGGCGCTCCTCCTCCATGCGCCGCTCCTCCGCCCCGCGCCGGCGCCGCGCCCGCTCCACCGCGGCCGAGACGCCGCCGCTCGCCTGCTGCCTGCGCTGCCGCCACGCCTCGTCCTCCGCCTCCTCCGACGGCGCCTTTGCCACCGGCGCGGGAGCGACGGGCGAGCCCGGCGCCGCCGCCGCCGCCGGCGCCGGCGCCGGCAAAGGCCCCCCTGCGGGGGCGGGGAGGATGCCCCCGCCCGCTACGCCGCCGCCGCCCCCGGCGCCGGCGGCGGAAGCGGACGCCGCGGCCGCCACCGCCGCCACGGCCGCCACGGCGACGGCGACGGCGGGCGGCATGGACGACGGCGCCTGCAAGCCGGGACGTCCCGGCATGAGCGCCAGCGGCAGCTGCAGCTGGTGGTGGTGGTGCTGTTGCTGCTGTTGCTGCTGCTGCTGCTGAGGGACGTGGTGGTGCTGCTGTTGGTGCGGGTGGTGCTGCTGCGGATGCTGCTGCGGGTGGAGCGGGTGGAGGTGGTGCTGCTGTTGTTGGTGCTGCTGCTGCATTAGTTGGTGGTGCTGCTGCTGCTGCTGCTGGTGGTGCTGCTGCTGCTGCTGCTGGTGAAGGTGGTGCTGGTGGAGGTGATGGGGCGCAGGCTGCGAGCCCAAGAGTGGCGACTGCAGTCGCTGCCCCTGTGGACAAGACGGGCGGTGTGTTAGGAATGACGGCGGTGGGTGGGTGGGTGAGTGAGGGGTCACATCTGATAGCGCCAAGGCAGCTGGTGTTGACGACTGCTCCCGCTGGAAGCGTTAATGCTTTCCTCCGTTAGCGCTGCTTGTGCCGGAAGCCGTGCTCGCTAGCACTAGCAACCGCTGTTATTACTGCGAGCGGTAGTACTTGCACCAGCGCCGGCGGTGCTGTTGCCAGTGCTGCCGGTATTACTGCTGATTGGTGCTGCCAATGCTAGTGCTGCTTCCAGTACCGTCGGCGTCACTCACGACTGGCAGCGCCGTCAACGCAACCGCCACCTGCTGCCAGTAATCGCGCGAGTGCTGCTGGCGCCGTTGCAAAAACGCTGCCGGCGTTACTGCTGCTAGTGCTGCTTTCTCTCCGCGCGCGCCGCTGCTAGTGCCGGTGTCAGTGCCGCTGCTAGTGCCGGTGTCAGTGCCGCTGCTGGCGGTGGTGGTGGTGGTGGTGCTGCGAACGCTACCACGGGGCAGGGGAGCTCCGGCGGGGCGAGGCGGCGCTCGAAGCCGGGGCGGCCGGGCAACTTCCAGCTCTGAGGCACAGCGAGAGAGGGCGAGGGACACACACGAAGGGGTCACGCAACTCCCCCGTGGGCCAGACACGGCCCGGTTACTTCGTTCTCACACGAGCCGTGGGCCAGGCACTGCCCGGTAAAGTCACCACCACGTAGAATGAGAATAAAATAATACATTGATAAAATAAAAATAACACAATAAAATTCTCACGACGTTTCGGCCACAACACAAGCGGCCTTCATCAGGTGAAGGGACGAGACTTTGTTCTCACACGACCCGTGGGCCGGACACTGCCCTGCCACTTCGTTCTCACACGGCCCACGACCTAATTTCAAAAGGCCCATATGCTCGCTCTGGTTCAAGGCCCGAGTCCGAGTTCATAACGGCCGTGTTGGTTTCACTGCGTCTGCACTGCCAAGTTCCCGGGTTCCAGTCCTTGGGTTGGGGTGCATTGTAACTTGCCTGCTGATGCTGCTGCTGCTGATGATGATGGAGCTGCTGCTGCTGCTGATGGTGATGGAGCTGCTGCTGATGCTGATGTTGCTGCTGATACTGTCCAGCTTGTGAAGTCTGCATCAGTGCAGATGTCTTGATGGATAGCTCCGAAGAGGCATCCACTCGCTGCTGGGCCACCCTGGCGACAAGAAGGATACACGGTTCTCAAGGGGCGCACGGACGGCCGCGTCAGGCACGCCGAGCCGGCAAATGCCAGAACCCGTAAAAACGCGGTGCCTCCTCCTCCCCAGCGGCTGGCTCAGAATGGCGGTGCGGCTCTTGAGCACGGGCCGTACCAAAGCTTCTTCTCTTTGGAGCCGTTGGGTTCGTCGTCGTCGCTGAAGTTGAGCTTCTCGGAGTAGTCCACCTCGTCCTGAACGCCTGGGGGGAGCGGGCGAGGGAGACGAAATGGCAAGGGCGGAGCGCCAAGCACGTCAACAATGGCACAGCTCAAATGAGCATCAAGCCACTGGCGACCAATCTCCCGCTTGCGGCCCCGCACGGAGCCAGTGCTGGACATTCCACAGCCCTAGGGCTGAGGGGGGGGGGCGGGGACAGTACATCCATAGGACCCCTAGCTGTTGACTTACTCCCTCCCCACCCCCACAAAGTGGTACTCATTCTATCAACCCAGGAGGGATGATGATGATGGGCCGGGTCAACCGCTACCCCCCCCCCCTCCCACCCATCAAGCGGAAATTGAACTCTTGACCTTCTGACCGCGCACTCAACCACTGACGAGACACCACCCGGCCGCGTCCAAATCTACAATCGCGCGGGCCAGGGTTGGTGGGACACGATGAGATGCGCGTCTTGACGCACCGGCCCATCCGTCGTCGGCCTCGCTCTCCAGCGTGTCGAACTCCTTCAGGTCGTTGACGTTGACGATGCAGGGACGCTCCAGCGGTTGCTCGCCGCCCGGTGGCGGCGTGGCGCCGCCGGTGACTGCGCCGGCGCCGCCGCCCCCCGACGACAGGGCCGCGGCTGCCGAAGACGCCGTGACCACAGAGAGGCCTCCCACCAAGCCTGGGCCGCGTGGTCCGGCGCGGCCAGCTCCCTGGGCAAACCTGGGGGGGGGGCGCGTGACATCGTCGTCGTCGTCGTCATCGTCGTGCCGAGTCTGTGGTGCAGTGTTGAATCTATGGTGCAGTGTTGAGTCTATGGTGCAGTGTTGAGTCTATGGTGCAGTGTTGAGTCTCTTGGCAGTGCTGAGTCTATGGTGCAGTGCTGAGTCTATGGTGCAGTGTTGAGTCTATGGTGCAGTGCTGAGTCTATGGGCAGTGTTGAGTCTACGGGCGGTGTTGAGTCTATGGTGCAGTGTTGAGTTTACGGGCAGTGTTGAGTCTATGGTGCAGTGTTGAGTCTATGGTGCAGTGTTGAGTCTATGGTGCAGTGCTGAGTCTATGGTGCAGTGCTGAATCTATGGTGCAGTGTTGAGTCTATGGTGCAGTGTTGAGTGTATGGTGCAGTGTTGAGTCTACGGGCAGTGTTGAGTCTACGGGCAGTGTTGAGTCTATGGTGCAGTGTTGAGTCTATGGAGCAGTGTTGAGTCTATGGTGCAGTGTTGAGTCTATGGTGCAGTGTTGAGTCTATGGTGCAGTGTTGAGTCTATGGTGCAGTGTTGAGTGTATGGTGCAGTGTTGAGTGTATGGTGCAGTGTTGAGTCTATGGTGCAGTGTTGAGTCTATGGTGCAGTGTTGAGTCTATGGTGCAGTGTTGAGTCTATGGTGCAGTGTTGAGTCTATGGTGCATTGCTGAGTCTATGGTGCAGTGATGAGTCTATGGTGCATTGCTGAGTCTATGGTGCAGTGATGAGTCTATGGTGCAGTGATGAGTCTATGGTGCAGTGTTGAGTCTATGGTGCAGTGTTGAGTCTATGGTGCAGTGTTGAGTCTATGGTGCAGTGTTGAGTCTATGGTGCAGTGTTGAGTCTATGGTGCAGTGCCGAGTCTATGGTGCAGTGTTGAGTCTATGGTGCAGTGTTGAGTCTATGGTGCAGTGTTGAGTCTATGGTGCAGTGTTGAGTCTATGGTGCAGTGTTGAGTCTATGGTGCAGTGTTGAGTCTATGGTGCAGTGTTGAGTCTATGGTGCAGTGTTGAGTCTATGGTGCAGTGTTGAGTCTATGGGCAGTGCTGAGTCTATGGTGCAGTACTGAGTCTCTTGGCAGTGCTGAGTCTATGGTGCAGTGTTGAGTCTATGGTGCAGTGTTGAGTCTATGGTGCAGTGCTGAGTGTATGGTGCAGTGTTGAGTCTATGGTGCAGTGCCGAGTCTATGGTGCATTGTTGAGTCTATGGTGCAGTGTTGAGTGTATGGTGCAGTGTTGAGTCTATGGTGCAGTGTTGAATCTATGGTGCAGTGATGAGTCTATGGTGCAGTGCTGAGTGTATGGTGCAGTGTTGAGTCTATGGTGCAGTGTTGAGTCTATGGTGCAGTGATGAGTCTATAGTGCAGTGATGAGTCTATGGTGCAGTACTGAGTCTCTTGGCAGTGCTGAGTCTATGGTGCAGTGCTGAGTCTATGGTGCAGTGTTGAGTCTATGGTGCAGTGCCGAGTCTATGGGCAGTGTTGAGTCTACGGGCAGTGTTGAGTCTACGGGCAGTGTTGAGTTTACGGGCAGTGTTGAGTCTATGGTGCAGTGTTGAGTCTATGGTGCAGTGTTGAGTCTATGGTGCAGTGTTGAGTCTATGGTGCAGTGTTGAGTCTATGGTGCAGTGTTGAGTCTATGGTGCAGTGTTGAGTCCATGGTGCAGTGTTGAGTCTATGGTGTAGTGTTGAGTCTATGGTGCAGTGTTGAGTCTATGGGCAGTGTTGAGTTTATGGGCAGTGTTGAGTCTATGGTGCAGTGTTGAGTCTATGGTGCAGTGTTGAGTTCATTGTGCAGTGTTGAGTCTATGTTGCAGTGCTGAGTCTACGGGCAGTGTTGAGTCTATGGTGCAGTGTTGAGTCTATGGTACAGTGTTGAGTTTATGGGCAGTGTTGAGTCTATGGTGCAGTGTTGAGTCTATGGTGCAGTGTTGAGTCTATGGTGCAGTGTTGAGTCTATGGTGCAGTGTTGAGTCCATTGTGCAGTGTTGAGTATGTTGCAGTGCTGAGTCTATGGTGCAGTGTTGAGTCTACGGGCAGTGTTGAGTCTACGGGCAGTGTTGAGTCTATGGTGCAGTGTTTAGTCTATGGTGCAGTGTTGAGTCTATGGTGCAGTGTTGAGTCCATTGTGCAGTGTTGAGTCTATGTTGCAGTGCTGAGTCTATGGTGCAGTGTTGAGTCTACGGGCAGTGTTGAGTCTACGGGCAGTGTTGAGTCTATGGTGCAGTGTTGAGTCTATGGGCAGTGTTGAGTCTATGGTGCATTGCTGAATCTACGGTGCAGTGTTGAGTCTATGGGCAGTGTTGAGTCTATGGTGCAGTGTGGAGTCTATGGTGCAGTGTTGAGTCTATGGTGCAGTGTTGAGTCTATGGTGCAGTGTTGAGTCTATGGTGCAGTGTTGAGTCTATGGTGCAGTGTTGAGTCCATGGTGCAGTGTTGAGTCTATGGTGCAGTGTTGAGTCTACAGGCAGTGTTGAGTTTATGGGCAGTGTTGAGTCTACGGGCAGTGTTGATTCTATGGGCAGTGTTGAGTCTATGGTGCAGTGCCGAGTCTATGGTGCATTGTTGAGTCTATGGTGCAGTGTTGAGTGTATGGTGCAGTGTTGAGTCTATGGTGCAGTGTTGAATCTATGGTGCAGTGATGAGTCTATGGTGCAGTGCTGAGTGTATGGTGCAGTGTTGAGTCTATGGTGCAGTGTTGAGTCTATGGTGCAGTGATGAGTCTATGGTGCAGTGATGAGTCTATGGTGCAGTACTGAGTCTCTTGGCAGTGCTGAGTCTATGGTGCAGTGCTGAGTCTATGGTGCAGTGTTGAGTCTATGGTGCAGTGCCGAGTCTATGGGCAGTGTTGAGTCTACGGGCGGTGTTGAGTCTACGGGCAGTGTTGAGTTTACGGCCAGTGTTGAGTCTATGGTGCAGTGTTGAGTCTATGGTGCAGTGTTGAGTCTATGGTGCAGTGTTGAGTCTATGGTGCAGTGTTGAGTCTATGGTGCAGTGTTGAGTCCATGGTGCAGTGTTGAGTCTATGGTGTAGTGTTGAGTCTATGGTGCAGTGTTGAGTCTATGGGCAGTGTTGAGTTTATGGGCAGTGTTGAGTCTATGGTGCAGTGTTGAGTCTATGGTGCAGTGTTGAGTTCATTGTGCAGTGTTGAGTCTATGTTGCAGTGCTGAGTCTACGGGCAGTGTTGAGTCTATGGTGCAGTGTTGAGTCTATGGTACAGTGTTGAGTTTATGGGCAGTGTTGAGTCTATGGTGCAGTGTTGAGTCTATGGTGCAGTGTTGAGTCTATGGTGCAGTGTTGAGTCTATGGTGCAGTGTTGAGTCCATTGTGCAGTGTTGAGTATGTTGCAGTGCTGAGTCTATGGTGCAGTGTTGAGTCTACGGGCAGTGTTGAGTCTACGGGCAGTGTTGAGTCTATGGTGCAGTGTTTAGTCTATGGTGCAGTGTTGAGTCTATGGTGCAGTGTTGAGTCCATTGTGCAGTGTTGAGTCTATGTTGCAGTGCTGAGTCTATGGTGCAGTGTTGAGTCTATGGGCAGTGTTGAGTCTACGGGCAGTGTTGAGTCTATGGTGCAGTGTTGAGTCTATGGGCAGTGTTGAGTCTATGGTGCAGTGTGGAGTCTATGGTGCAGTGTTGAGTCTATGGTGCAGTGTTGAGTCTATGGTGCAGTGTTGAGTCTATGGTGCAGTGTTGAGTCCATGGTGCAGTGTTGAGTCTATGGTGCAGTGTTGAGTCTACAGGCAGTGTTGAGTTTATGGGCAGTGTTGAGTCTATGGTGCAGTGTTGAGTCTATGGTGCAGTGTTGAGTCCATGGTGCAGTGTTGAGTCTATGGTGTAGTGTTGAGTCTATGGTGCAGTGTTGAATCTACGGTGCAGTGTTGAGTCTATGGGCAGTGTTGAGTCTATGGTGCAGTGTTGAGTCTATGGTGCAGTGCTGAATCTACGGTGCAGTGTTGAGTCTATGGGCAGTGTTGAGTCTATGGTGCAGTGTGGAGTCTATGGTGCAGTGTTGAGTCTATGGTGCAGTGTTGAGTCTATGGTGCAGTGTTGAGTCTATGGTGCAGTGTTGAGTCTATGGTGCAGTGTTGAGTCCATGGTGCAGTGTTGAGTCTATGGTGCAGTGTTGAGTCTACAGGCAGTGTTGAGTTTATGGGCAGTGTTGAGTCTATGGTGCAGTGTTGAGTCTATGGTGCAGTGTTGAGTCCATGGTGCAGTGTTGAGTCTATGGTGTAGTGTTGAGTCTATGGTGCAGTGTTGAGTCTACGGGCAGTGTTGAGTTTATGGGCAGTGTTGAGTCTATGGTGCAGTGTTGAGTCTATGGTGCAGTGTTGAGTCTATGGTGCAGTGTTGAGTCTGTGAGCAGTGTTGAGTCTGTGAGCAGTGTTGAGTCTATGGTGCAGTGCTGGGTCTATGGTGTGTTGAGTCTACGGGCAGTGTTGAGTCTATGGTGCAGTGTTGAGTCTATGTTGCAGTGCTGAGTCTATGGTGCAGTGTTGAGTCTACGGGCAGTGTTGAGTCTATGGTGCAGTGTTGAGTTTTTGGGCAGTGTTGAGTCTACGGGCAGTGTTGAGTCTATGGTGCAGTGTTGAGTCTATGGTGCAGAGCTGATTCTATGGTGCAGTGCTGAATCTATGGTGCAGTGTTGAGTCTACGGGCAGTGTTGAGTCTATGGTGCAGTGTTGAGTCTACGGGCAGTGTTGAGTCTACGGGCAGTGTTGAGTCTACGGGCAGTGTTGAGTCTATGGTGCAGTGTTGAGTCTGTGGTGGGGTGCTGCTCAATGTACAGGGGGAATTGATTCCAGTGGAGGGGTGGCTATGAGCGCAAAGGAGCGTCAATGGGATTGGGAGCAGGGGGGGACGAGGCGGGCACGGCACACTCACTTGGCCGCCTCAGCTGGCGTGAACGGGAAGCGGAATTTTGCGGGACCAAAAGCCGGGGCGAATGTCATCCCTCGCAGAGACCCCGAGGGGTACCCCATCTGTGGTAAGCACCCCCCAAAGGCAAAGGAGGGGGAGGAGGGGGGGTGGTGGTGGGGGGGGTCAGGGGAAGACGGGGACGAAAATACAAAGCACGGTTTAATTTGTGGTGGTTAACCGGCGAGCGGTTCACGGTGGAATTTCAAGGCGCGTGCCAACGTACAAAGGGCGCGACGGAACGCGCCGCGTCTCGGTTAAAACGGCGAGGGCGCAGCCCCTGCAATAGCTCTGCTCGCTCACGCAAATGCTGGCCCAAGGGCATCCGCTAGAGGGCGCTCTAAGAAGAGGGGTGTTTGTTCTCCACCCGTCGACGACGACAACAACAACAACAACCACAACCCCTAACCACACAACCGCAAACGCCGCGCAATCCCACGACCGGACACGATGGCCCCACGCTTACAAAAGGAGGCCCAGGGCCCCGGAAGGGCGCCGGCGAGAACGCATTGCCGACGGCGCCAGCAGCAGCAGCTGAAGAGGAGGAGGAGGAGGAGGAGGAGGGGAAGGAGGAACCGGGCGCCATCATCTGTGGCGTCGCCAGCAGTCCCGGGCTGCTCGTCTCGGGCGCCGGCGCCCCCCCCCCCCCCCCCCCCCCCCGGCACCCCTCCCCCTCGGGGGCCGACGCCGTTTGCGCCTCTGAGGGGCTCGGGGTCGCCGAGGCTGGCGCCAGGGGGGACGCCAGCGCCTCCGGACCCCGCCGAGCCGGCGCCGGCTGCCGCCGCCGACGATGATGATGATGCCGGCGCCGCCACCGCCGCGCTTCCTCCAGCCGCCGCTGCGGCTGCCGCTGCGCTTGCGATGCGCCCACCGCCCTCCCGCCAGCTTGCCACATCTGCGAGGAGGTGGCGGGGGGGGGGGGAGGGGAGATATTGCCACATCGGTGTGGGTGCCATCGTCATCATCGACATCGGCGTAGGTGCCATCGTCATGATCATCATCAGCATCATCGGTGTACGTACCATCGTAGTCATCAGCATCATCGCCGGTCTAAGTAACATCGTCCAGCACCATGCCCGGCCGCCTTAGTCTCCCCACAGACAATGATCCTCCACGTAGCCTTTAACAGACTGTTGGGGCAAGGTATTATGGACCCCCCACTCACTCTGTGGGCGCAGGCTGGGCCCGGGTCCGTACGCCGGCACGGCACCGTCGTGGGCAGCCTCCCCGCGTTGCTCCGCCTGCTGCTGCTGTTGCTGCTGCTGTTGCTGCTGCTGCTGTTGCTGCTGTTGCTGCTGCTGCTGCTGCTCCCCGGCCGCCTGCAGACTGGGGAACTCCTGCTGAGACAGCCGCGAACGCTGGCTCGGGGCAGCCACTACTGCGGTGGGCAAGGTGGGAGGGGGACGGAGGCAGGGAGGGCAAGGGGGCAAAAAGGAGGAGAGGTCACACACACAGTGGCGGGATGGAGGGCGAGGCCTCGCAAGAATAATAATTCACGTTTGTAAAGTGACGCGCGTTGCATCCGTAAGATCCCACCAATGCGCCACCACCGTGTGTGGAAAGCCAGGAGATAATCAGAACCCGCAGCGTGGACAAGGACATCATGGTGGTTGTGATAAGGAAGATGATGATGATGTTGCGATGGGTTAGAGTACCAGGACCATAGACATCACCAACAACAATAACACGAACCTGACCACCACCACCACCGCCGCCGTCGTCAAAATCACTACCATCGCCAAGCACCACAATCGTTATGTCTACAATTACTATCCCCACCACCGCAACCATCACTGTCGCCAAACAATCATAATTTAGCTTTGGATAGTGGCGCTTATCACGGATCTTAATGCACCACCGCCGTGTATGGTAAGCCAGGAAATAAACACAGAACCTGCGGGGTAAACAGACCGAATCGGAATATTGATTTACACTGCAGGAGCAATCCGATGAGCTATAAAGCGCTTTTTAACAGATGTCCAGTCGGGGCACGGGGTAGGAACGTTACGACAAAGAGTACAAAAAACACAAGGTAAACAAATCAGCAAAACTACAGAGCAAAATATAATAATAGGGTTTTCCCTCTTTTTTTCTGGCAACAAAACTGAAACCTTTTTACAAGGATTCATGTCTGCATTAACCGCAATACCTGCAGTCAAAATGCAAACAAAAAACATACTATGATAATATATGCATTGTCCTTGAAACTGATTGGTCCACACCAAGGGACGGCTTTCTTTTGAGCCTCAACCCAATTGGCGTCATCTGGTCGAGCACCAATCGGGTCGAGGCACAAAAGAAAGCCGTCCCCTTGCTGTGGACCAATCAGTTTCAAGGACAATGCATATATTATCATAGTGTGTTTTTTGTTTGCATTTTGACTGCAGGTATTGTGGTTAATGCAGTAAACATGAATCCTTGTAAAAAGGTTTCAGTTTTGTTGCGAGAAAAAAAGGGGAAAAACCCTATTATTATATTTTGGTACTGGCAAAGGAGGTCTAATGATGAGATGCATAGCAAAACTAAACCATCCCCATCCTACCAGGCAAAGGCTTGAGGAATCAACGTACAGTGAAACCTTGGATTGCGAGTAACTTGGTCTGCGAGTGTTTAGCAAGATAAGCTAATTTTTTAAATAAATAATAATTTGATAAACGAGCGAGGGTCTTTGCAATACGAGCAGTACGTACAGCATACGCTTTGTCTGCCAAGCGTCACGTGATCACAACTGAGCCAATGGTTCTTCTCTCTCTCTCGCTGCGGGATTGTGGGTAATCGTCTCCCATGCTCGGTCTCAGTCGGCGTGCCTCACTCGTATAGTCAACATTCGTGTGAGTGTATACTGTTTACTACAGTACTGTAGTGTTGTGACCACGTGTATACTGTTTACTACAGTACTATATTGTCGTGACCACGTGTATACTGTTTACTACAGTACTATAGTGTTGTGACCACATGTATACTGTTTACTACCGTACAATAGTGTTGTGACCATGTGTGTGCGTAAAGCATTTTTTAAATTTTGTGTCAAAGTGTAGTCGCTGTTCTTTAGTAACTGTACTGCAAGTGAAAGTCGTCCTATACAATAACCCTCCTCCTCCTCCTCTCTCTCGTCTCCCTCACACCAGCCACGATTAAATGTAATTAATAAATTTGATTACCTTACATTAAATTTAAATAATACAAATATAAAAAGGTATTTTGCATTAAGCATTTTTACATGAATATTTGTGGGTTGTGGAACGAATCATCTGAGTTTCCATAATTTATTATGGGGAAATTCGCTTTGATATACGAGTGCTTTGGATTACGAGCACGTTTCCGGAACGGATTATGCTCGCAATCCAAGGTTTCACTGTATTGTTCAAAAGCGACCTCGCTACCGCAAACGATAGCCCAACGAAGTGGCCCATCATTTGGACATTTATAGCACCAAAATAATCTAAATAATCCTCAACGCACGTTTTCCAAACGTGGAGGAAAAAATCCCCGCGACCACGGGAAGAGAGACACGCAAACCACAAATATGAAGCCAATTGAAGTAGGTGAGTTTTCAAGACAAGACTCAAACAGCGCTCACGACTCTGAATGTCTTAATGGCAAAGGCAACGCATGCCAAAGCATGGCAGCTGCACTGGCAAAAATCCCGATCGTAATACTTTGACAAGGCCATTATGAACACTCCACCCCCCCCCCCGACATCCTGCCGCCCCATTCACCCCCCCCCCCCGCTCCTCGTTTCCACCAAAAGCATAGCTGGGTAACTGGCTACACTATTATTCACGTGGGATGGAGCACCAGGAAAATAATCCAAGCCTTGTGCGAGGGCAGAGGGGGCGGGGGGGGCAACAGTATCCCGGTACAGATGGAAACGGATGGGAGATTTATCCGCACTTTGCCGTACTGCCTTCACTTGGCAAAACCAGGGGTACGGCTCCTCTATGACGACCCACCCACGGGTTAGAAGGACATGAGATGGAACAGATGGAGATTCGTCCCCACACTCCGCTGCTTGTGCTGCCTTCTTCTGGCACTTCCAAGAGTACGACTCCTCTTCGAGGCCCACCCCACCTGTGAGTGGTCCACCAAGCCCTCGATGCTACTGCTGCTGCCTGCACAGAGCTGGATCCGCAGGCAGCCATGTGCAGCAGCAGCAGCTGCAGGAGCAGCTTAGCCACCACCACCGCTACCACCACCACCATCAGCACCACCGCCAGCGCCGCCGCCACCGCCGCCACCACCCCCGCCGCCACCACCACCGCCGCCGCCACCACCATCACCGCCGCCACCACCATCAACACCGCCACCTCCACCACCACCACCACCACCACCGCCACAACGCACCCACCCACCGCCACCACCGCACCCAGACCAAGGACTCAAACCCCACGGATATGGGCCACTCACCTTCTACGTGAACCTTGCTGCCCCTGGGTGCAGGTGGAGCCCAGGAGGTGACATTCGTCTTGCAGGTTGCACTCTGCCACCCAAACACAAGCAAAGGAAGCACACGAACCCCAGGCAGAGTCAGAGGGGGGAGCGGCGGGGTGGGGGGGGGTCCGGGGGCTGGGGAGAGAGGGCGTCACGCCGGACAAACGCGACAACCCACGGCAACTTCAGCGCCCGCGGGAGAAGCTGTCTTGCGATTGGCGGGATGCAGCAGCTCGCAAATAACTGGCAGTCATCGTCGTGCGGTGGTCTACGGGGCGATGACAAAATGATGACGGCGATAATAAAAACCAGGGCTGGGATACGGCCGACTCATCTAGGAAACGGCCCCGGGTGCCTTGGACATTGCCGCTGGACGGGAGGTGATGGGCGGCGCTCGGCGATACAGTCGGCGTCGTCACTGGCGGCACTGCGACTCGCTGACGGGAGGTTACAATTCCACGGACCGCGAGGACGGTCCATGTACATGCCCGCGTGCGCACGTATGTACGCGCGCGTGTGCGTGCGTGCGTGCGCCCGTACCTCTGTGGTGGTGGTGGTGGTGGTTGTGGTGGCGCTGACGTTGGCCGAGGGGGGCGAGGGGGCGGAGGAGACGGCGCAGCTCGGTGTAGCCGGCGGCGGCAGCGACTCTGGCTGCAGTAGAGGCGGCGCCCGAGGCCTGGGCGACACGAACCACGACGGCACAGACAACGACGACGGCACAGACGACGACGACGACGATTCCCCGTCTAGCCTCAACAGCGCTCTTAGCGAACAGCATCGCCTACCAAGGCCGGGACGGCACACCGAGGGGGTGGGTGTGGGCCAGCACCATGCCCGGCCTCCTTTGCCTCCAACGCGGAGACGTTGACTGCGCACAGCGCCAGGTACTCGTACGAGGCTGAGGCGACCTAGGCGAGGCCCCGGGACCGGTTCAGATAGTCGCCGCCGATGTTGGCCGTGAGCGGGAATCGAACTCGGGCCACCGGGTTCCATAGCCTCGGGGCGCTCACCGTTACACGACCGCTCCCCGAAAACACACACACGCAGATATAGACACACACGGAGATATGCGCGCACACACACGCAGATACCATGCACGTACGCAACCCACAAAATGGACATAACTGTGTGTGTGCGCGCGTGTGTGCATGCGCAGGTGGGGAGCAGTGGCGCAGTGGTTGGCACTCGGGCGTAGCAGAGTGTGAGTGTGCTAGTGAGTAATTAGAGTGAGCGAGTAAGCAGGCGATTGCGCGAGTGGATGGGCGAGCGACCGAGCGAGTGACCAGTTTAACGCATGACCAGGTGAGCGTGCAATTGAACGGGCGGGCGGGCAAGTTGGTGAGCGAGTGATATCGCAGGTGGGCGAGCGAGCAAGCGAGCAACCGGATGAGCGAGTGGGTGAGTGGGCGAGTGAGTAGGCAAGCGGGTGAGCGAGTGGGCGCGAACGAGTGAGCAGGCGAGTGAGCGAACGAGTGGGCGAGCGAGCGAGTGGGCGGACGAGCGAGTGGGCGAGCGAGCCGGCGAGCGGGCGAGCGAGTGGGCGGACGAGCGAGTGGACGAGCGAGTGGGCGAGCGAGTGGGCGAGCGAGTCGGCGAGCGAGTGGGCGGACGAGCAAACTGAGTGGGCGAGAGCGAGCGAGCGGGCGAGGGACTTGCGCACGCACGTCTTGTCGTCGCGAGGCTCCTGCTTGCTCGCCCATCCCGATCCGTCCTTGGGCACCAGCGTCACGTTGGGGTCGTTGCCTTTGTTTTCGGCCTTCAGGCTCGGCAGGTTGGCAGGGGGCGGCATGCGCCGCGCCGTGGCCACCTTCCCCAGGCTCTGCAGGCCATGTCTCGTAGCGACTGCATCACCGCCATCGCCACACGAGCACCCGGGTTTGTCGGGGGTTAGGGTCGCCAGTTGGTTAAAAAGAGCTTCACATTTCTCCGGGGCGAATAAAGATTCCAATTCCGGTTTCGCGCCGAGCAAGCGACGTTCAGGAAACAAGTTACGCCCGATTCAGGTTTACGGCCCAAAAGGATTTTTTTTTTCTTTTCCGCTTTCTGCTTTGGGGTTTTCACGCCGGGTCTCGGCCGCCTCGACGCACCGGGCTGCAGGCGGCGGGGCGCCCCGTCGCCGCCCCGCCCCGCTCGGTTCATCCCTCCTCGGCACCGAGAACCGGCGTGCGTTCAGAGCAGCGGTCCTTGGTGGATTACAAATCGTTCAGAACGCGGCAGTTATAGGGGCCCCGTTGCGTGCCATTTCTCCGGTTCTCTTATCCATGACACTGGCTGCCTGTCTTGAAACGTGTGGAGTTCGAGAGCCTTCTAACTCGTTTGTAAAGACCTTGCATGGCCTGGCACCACCACCACATGTTTTTTTGTGCCAGTTAAAAGGGTAAAACCTATTACTATATCTTGTTACTGGCAAAGGAGGTCTCATAATGCAAATGCTCACCCCGAGCCCTCAATACTCTGATAGTGTGCTGTTTTTGAGTTGTACGCCTTTTGGCGTCTTCTGGTCCAACACCAATGGAGACTAGGCTCTAAGAAAAGCTGTCTCGGGTGTGGACCAATCAAATTCAAGGACAGTGCATATTATTATAAGTTGTCTTTTTATTTGCATTTTGACTGCTTGTGTTGTGGTTATTGCAGACATGATGCCTTGAATAAAGGTGTCAGTTTTTTGTGCCAGTTAAAAGGGTAAAACCTATTACTATATCCGTTTATTCTATTCAAGCTTCTCTCCTAACAATTATTCTTACAAAGGGGCCTTGAGGCAACAGTGTATGGCAACTCGCATATAAATGTAAATTATTATTTTTCTCAGACTTTCTTGGCTACTGTGTTACCCCCCCCACCCACCCCCCCCTTGTTGAATTTAGTTTCAACAGAGTAGTAACCCCCCTCCCCCCAACCTTGCAATGAGCCAACATGGGTTCCGAAAAATGAATGCATCAATTACGAGAAAATCTAATTTTTTTTACACGATTGTCCATTTTGTGAGGTATCCCCTAACTAGCTATGTAACTGCAAGCACAAAAAAATTAACGGAGCACGTGATGTCATTTGTTCGCGCTTGCCGGTTACCCTTGGAAACCCGCACTGTTTAAGATCAATGAGTTTAGAAAGGTCTTTCATATCGTTCTCGGTAACCACATGGATTTGAATGTTATCATAGTTACCTGATATTGGCAAATTCATAATTCACAAATGGTTCTCGTGTGTATCATATCACACGTTTATAAATCACCTCGCGTACCCCCTGGGACATTGCCACGTACCCCCCCCCCAAAGGGGTCTGCGTACCCCCGGTTGAGAACCACTGGTTTTAGAGTACTTGGCTCCTGCTGCTGCTAATATAAATTTCCACACTGTGATGATGAGCCACTGACTTCGTTGAGCTATCATTTTGTGGTGGCCGAGCCGCTTCTGAAATAGAGCGGCGTAGCTCAGTGGGCCTCTGGTGGTGGAGACGTCTCTGGTTCTGCGACTCGCACAAAACCAGGTTGTCTGCCCGTGGCGTGTCCCTCGTCCGGCCGTGTCAGCCCCTGTATGTCCCCCGTGTCTCCCTGCATGTACCCCCTTGTCTTCCCGTGTCTCTCTGCGTAGACCTCGCGTCTCCCCACGTCCGCCGTGTCTCCCCGCGTCTCCATGGATGTCCCCGAGTCTCCCCGCACGTTCCTCATGTCGCCCCGTGTCTCCCCGCATGTCCCCGTGTCTCCCCACACATTCGCCATGTCTCCCCGGATGTCCCTATGTCCCCCCTAAACGTTCGCCATCTCACGTCGTGTCTCGCCGCATGTCCCCCCCCATGTCTCCCCACAAGTTGCCCATGTCTCCCCGTGTCTCCCCACACTTTGCCCGTGTCTCCCCACACGTTCCCCGTGCCTCCCTGCATCTCTCCCCGCATGTCCCCATGCCTCCGCACACGTTCCCCATGTTTTCCCGTGCTTCGCCGCATCTCACCGTGTCTCCCCGTGCGTGTCCCCGTGTGCGCGACCCCCCGCCCCCCACCCCCCCCAACGTACTGGTAGTCTTGTGGGTCTCGATGCTCTTGCCCTTGTAGGTGTTATAGAGGCTGAGCGACGCGTACTTGGTCTTGCCGTCCTTTCCCTTTGCGCTCTGCCCCGCACGCTCGGACATGGCTCAGAGCGATCATTGAGTACGGGTGGCTCACGGCGTCGCTCCCAGGACGCGGCCCCAACCTGCGCGGCGACAAAACGGGAAGCGTGAAGTTGCAGTGGCAGCAAGAAGAGGGAGCAGCAGCAGCAGCAGCAGCAGCAGCAGCTCCCACCACCACTCTCTTATCCCCCACCAGGTGGAGGGTAGGGGGTGGGGCAGAGCCACACTGCCTTCTGACAACCACCTCCTCTCTCCCACGTCACCTTATCAATAACGTCATCGCCACGTAACTTCAATCCTTGGCAGTTAAAGGTAACTCGCATTATGTTATCGTTGTTAATGAGGCGATTTGAACACTCACTGCTTTTCATAATATCACTTGTGCTTTTATTGTGCCTAGTGAAGGAACCGGCGATTTAGTTAGGCTTTTGACGAGTGCGACCCAACCCCCTATATTTCCCATAATGCCGTGGCGGTTTTGCCAACCACGGCGGTTATCAGGACGGCAAGCCCCGCGGTTGGCGAGGGGGATTGTTGCAAGGTTAAAATTTCCACGGGCGCATCAATTCCCAAGCTCGGGCGAAGCAGCAAGAACCTCAGCAAGATAACACACAGTCCCCCTTCATAAAAATCGGAGTACAATGAGACGCAAAAGGGAACGCCAGAAATTGGAGAGGCAGCAGCAGCAGCAGCATGAGAAGCACCAGTATGTATGTGTGTGTGTATGTTGAACTTCTTTCGCACCGTACGTAGCCAACGGTACTAATCGGAGGTGCCGGGGTAGGACAACAAACTAAACACACAAAGGGGTTCTAAATAAATTAATGTTCTACCTGTATTTTTAAAGTGTGTAGCTCCAGTGGCTTCCAAATATCGGAAGGAAGAGCGTTCCAGGCGGCCGAAGAAGCGCATCTGAAATCGCGCGATGCGGTGACCGCCTTTGCTCGACGGCGAGCCAAAAGCCGCTGCGAGGACGACCGCAGTTCGAGTGATGGTTTATATTCCTTGATGAGATCGGCAAGATACTGCGGTTTATTTGTGGCAAGCGCTTTGCGCTTTCGCAATCAAAGCACGGAAGCAGCAGCGGGAGGAGGATTGAGGAGAAGCGAGCGACAAGCAACGACAACGGAGGCAGCCGCAAAAGAAAAAAAGACGAGAGGCGTCAGCGGAAGCCGGAGGGGGTCGAGAAAGAGCAACGGGAGGTGAAGCGGTCGAAGCGTTGCGGTGAAGTGGAACGGAAGCAAGGGAAGGTAAAGTGAAGCTGGAGGAGTAGAGGAGGAGGGGAAGCAGCAGTTGAAGCAGCAGAAGCACGGGAGAAGAGACAGGGACCCAACAGTCGCTTGAGCTGCACGTGCCGCTTGCTGTCTCGTACAATGCACACGTGTACACGGTACAATTCCGCATTCAGTGGCGGATTAAGCTAGTGCGGGGCCTGTAGCATATGTTATAATAAAGGGGCCCTAAATTTTTTTTAAAAAACACGCAAATATTAAAACACATTTTTTTTTACTTCCATAGTAAAGTAATTGCATTTTTTTTATTTGCTACACAGCCAGATAATACGACAAATCGCTAACCTTAAATGCTCAGTCGTTCATAAAAGTTGAAGGCAGTATAGGTGCTATAGTAATAAAGCAAGTGCAGAATCGCTGAACTGGAATTGATCGCTTGAAAGCATTTAACGCGAGGCCCTTGAAAGTGCGGGGCCCGTGGCATATGCTACATTTGCTACGAGGATAATCTCGCACTGTCCACATTCCTGTGACAGGGCCAAGGTTACCCATCACTGATCAAGGAGAACAGAAGCAGCAGCAGCAGCAACAGCCGAATTTCATTTCTCTGATGCGAGTGGTACCTATTTTATTCACCGTGGAATCATGACAACTATGACGACGATGTGCATAATTGACGAGCACAAGATCCACATGCGCACAGGAGGCAACCAACCTCTTGGGGGTCCAATCATCCCTGCCGGGTTAATGAAATTACAACCAAGTCAACATGTGACGCAGCGCTTCACAGTATCCGCTCGCTCTCGAAGAGAGAGAGAGAGAGGACGACTCGGAGAGAGAGGAGGATGACTGAGAGAGTGTGGACAACTCAAGAGGCACCAGGAGGAGGAACCACAAACCAGCGGGAAGGCAGCTGCAGCCACACAGCAACCCGTAGACTCACTCTAACCCACAGATTCAAACGACCAGTCTTGCATCGAAACTCACGCCGTCACGTGGAGATGTGATTAAACTGGATTCTCAAGCGTGTGTAAGTTGATGGTTTCAGCCCGGTGACAAGTGACTTACAGAGACCTGTAAACTCACACAGAGACCCGTAGGCTCACTTTACCCCATAAGATTCAAACAAAGACACACAGACTAAAAGGTAGATTACCTTCAGTCTTCGATGGGGAATTATATCGTCTCGTAGACAACAGTCATTGTTCAATTGGCTTCTCCAGTGTAAATGTGGTTGTTTTTTGCACTCAATGTCACCAAATCCCAGCTATGAGAATTAAGGATACCAATTTGACCCTCACGCAAATAGCAGTTTTCAGGGAGAATAACTTACGTGGTGCCTCTAAAAATAATTATTTTATAGGCAATACCAAACAAACTCATCGAGTTCATCAAAAACATTCTGATCTTAAAAGGAGAAATTATATAATAGGTAGTTAACATCTCGCCACGGTCGCGAGATGTTAACTACCTCGCTTGGTATACAGGAGGTCCGTGGGTTCGATCTCGACCCTGACGCCTGCTGTATATTTATAGTTTGCGTGTTCTCCCCGTGGTCGCGTGGATCTTTTTCCCGGGTCCTCCCGGTTTTTTCCCTCCACATTTAAAATCAACAACACGAGTTTTTGGCTGCGATACATTTTCACGTGATAAAAAGCCACTTCGTTGAGCAACAAGAGCTACGTAGCTCAGTAGGCCTTCTTCCCTGGTAAATCAAAATACAGGGTAGGCCTCTACTTACGATGGGAGACGCGTTACGACGACCACCATTGTAAGTCAAAAATATCGTAAGTCGAAGATGGCCTTAGCCTACCCAGGAGTCTTAAAGATAGGTGATAATTTAGCAAAACAGAGCAAATTTACAGTGCCGTACTGTATAAACTATATACTGTATGTATTTATTAATTACAATACTGTATTGCACAGTAAAATGTAAAGTAAAAAACAAGGTAAATTCTTAGCCTACCTATATGAACTGCAATTTAATAGAAGGGGCGGGAGATGCGTACATCCCGGCAGCGTCTCCAACGTACAGTTATCGTACCTTGCACGCTGCTGCGTTTGCCTGCCGAGCAAAATGTAAAATATTTTACAATTTTGTCGTATCGCCATCGTAAAATCGAAATATCGTAAGTCGGACCATCGTAAATCGGGGACTATCTAAAGTTAAATTTAGTCTGTGGGTCTCGATGTATCTGTATGGGTCTCTCTTTGCATCTCTATGGGTCTCTATGCGCCTCTGTGTCTCTATGGGCCTCCATGGGTCTCTATGCATTGATTGCCTGCTGCTATAAATCCCCATATGATGATGATGATGATGACAAGCGACTTCGTCGATTTATCATTTGTGAAAGCCAGGTCGCTTCTGGCAAAGAGGCTACGTAGCTCAGTGGGTCCTTACATGGTGAAATAAAAAATATGTAGTTTAGTTCAGTTAAAACGTCTGGTGCCACAAAATAAAAAGAGGACACCAGAGGAAACTGACGCAAAGGCTAAGAAGGGCCCTTTTCCCCCCATCAAATGCCCCAGCGACATTTCATATGCAGATATATATTGATATATATAAAATTTCCACACACGACGTGCATATACACTGTATGTACAAAGATTCACCCCCTCTGTATAGTCTGAGCAAACCTTTGGGTAAAGTGCTGTTAAGTGACGCCATTTGTCCGAAACGCATACTTGTCAACCCGCACGCGGTTTCGCCCATATTCTTGAACCGGGAAAATTCAGTTTTCAGGCCCATAAGGCGTGTACAGCCGTTTCAATACGGGCAACAACAACAAAAATGCGTTTGTCAACGTGTTTGCGTTTCTCCCTTGCGATGGGACTTTACAGGATGAACGGGGGGTGCTTTATAAGGGCACGCGGGGTGGCCAATACCTAAATTGGTCTGTAATAAGGTAGGACAACTGATAAGGGGTTCTTGACAAGTATGTAGAAATGTAGTGTATAGTGTAAAGTGGAGTGTATAGCGTAGTGTATAGCGTAGTGTATTGGATGAGGGCGCACAGGGTGACCAATAAGGTCTGAGTTGGTCTGTAATAAGGTAGGACAACTGATAAGGGGTTCTTGACAAGTATGTAGTAATGTAGTGTATAGTGTAGTGGAGTGTATAGCGTAGTGTATGGGATGAGGGCGCACAGGGTGACCAATAAGGTCCGAGTTGGTCTGCAATAAGGTACGGCAACTGATGAGGGGTTAACAAGTATGTAGAAATGTAGTGTATAGTGTAAAGTGGAGTGTATAGCGTAGCGTATTGGATGAGGGCACACAGGGTGACCAATAAGGTCTGAGTTGGTCTGCAATAAGGTAGGACAACTGATAAGGGGTTGACAAGTATGTAGTAATGTAGTGTATAGTGTAGTGGAGTGTAAAGTGGAGTGTATAGCGTAGTGTATTGGATGAGGGCGCACAGGGTGACCAATAAGGTCTGAATTGGTCTGTAATAAGGTAGGACAACTGATGAGGGGTTGACAAGTATGTAGTAATGTAGTGTATAGTGTAAAGTGGAGTGTATAGCGTAGCGTATTGGATGAGGGCACACAGGGTGACAAATAAGGTCCGAGTTGGTCTGCAATAAGGTAACTGATTAGGGGTCGCCGGGTATGGGACCACGTTCATTTATACGCGATTTCAGCACTATGCTCACAACCCCATTGGGCCGCAGCGATCGTGCCAGGCTAGGTGCGCCAAGGAGGCGGTGGTGGTGGTGGTGCGAATCTCTCTCGCACTGGATGCGTTCTGCGAGCTCGGAAAATGAGCGGGCATTTGGGGGGGGGGGGTTTTGGGGGGGGGGGGGTTTGTTTGTGCCCGCAAAGCGTCTTGTGCATGTGAGGCGTCCGTGTACAGCAGCACATCGATACGTAAATATACACACACGCAAGGTTATTCCCCTCTATAGAATTCGTTTAACGCGTTTCTTTCAAACAACAGTTTGGTCGTGTTTAGTCCGTCGTCCTTCGCCCGCACACGACGCCGGCTACGTACGGCGCGAAGGAAGTCCAACATGCCTCACGCACATTCGCGGACTTGCCCCCACGACGGCGCCTTCGCTTAAATCAGCAATGACCGGCGCGGTGAAGTATGGTTAAAGATCCCCTCCCTCCCTACCACCACCACCACCATGATGATGAGACACACGGGCGTGATGATGGAGAGGATTCCCCCCCCCCCTCCACACACATCTCTCCTCCACCCCCCCCCCCCAATCTCATCCAGCAGTGGACAAAGCCGGTGAGAGGTGGTGATGCTGTGCAGGTTGAACACGCGGCTTAAGAGATCGACGACGGGGAGCAAATGTGGAGGGAGAGGAAAAAAAACACAGGCAAGGGGACGATGGCGTGGACTGCATGTGTCACACGGCTTTCAAACCCGCATCGCGTTGACGTTTCGACGGCCACGCACCACACGTACGCGCGCAAGCGACAGCGGTAATGCGAAGACAACAACGAACAGCAACAACAACAACGCAAAAAGCTCGGGACAAAATAAGCACGCCGATGACAAAAGGCCGCCCGGTAAAGTCGGCCTCGCCGGCCGTCTTCGCCGTTAAAGCGTCGGCCGGCGTCATTTTACAGCCGCGGTTACAATAAAGTCAACGCCTCGCGTTTCTCTGCACGCAAATAGTGTTAACGTTGTTACGAGTTGGGGACGTTTAAATGTAAACAAAACAAATGTTATCTCATTAATTTCAAGTCACTGTCTGCAGTCGCCATTTTGACAACCCCCCCCCCCACACACACACCACCACCACCACTCCATCCGCTAATGAATTAAAAGGAACACACTTGCAACTTATTACAACTGCATTTGAACGCGCTGCGTTTTCACGCGTTTCCCAATAGCTCCGTCGCACGCGCCGTTTTTAGTTGCACGACGCAAAATTAATAGCGCGGCGATCGCACCTTTATCAATTTGCTATGCGTCACTTTTTTTTGTGTAAATTAATATCCCACCAGGCCGCAAGCGGGCCCTAGGCCCTCGCCTGAATCGGCTGCCTGCGCGCACGCGCGCGGGGTGGGAGTCTCCCACCCCCATCCCGGCACGGTGTTGAGGGAGTCGGCGTAATCGGGGGGGGGGGGGAGGGTTAATTTTTTTTTTAACCAGCGCGTCTAAAAAGCTGACATTCGAACGACGTGAATGTCCGACAAAGGTAGATATAGATCCACGGGAGGAGGGGAGATGTTTAGAAATTCACCGTTTGAAAGAGGCGTCGGGCCGAGAGAAATCTGTGCGGCGTCCGCTGGTTTAAGATGGCGGCCGCTGCTTCGGGTCTCTCGCCACCACCACCACCCACCCCCCACCCACCACCGTGTTAACAACACACAACACTAACACACAAAAAACCTCCTCGCGCCGTGGAAATACAAACTCGGATTAGGGAGGGAAAAAATTACAAAAAATATACCGAGCAACGGTGAAAGGTACCGAACCGGAATCCGACGAGAGAAAATCGCAACGGGTTAAGATGGGGGTGGAAAAAAATTACAAAGAAATAGCAAACGTGACGGTGCGCCGCCGCCGCCGCCGCTCACCTTCAGTGTTATTTTCTCAGGCACGGGAGTTGACGGCACAGAGGCGGTTGACGGTTTTGCCAAATTTAAATCAATTGCGAATTAAATGTCTTTAAACTTTGCTTTTTTTTTTGTTCCACCCACTCCCCTACCTCCCCCCCCGCCGCCGCCGCCAAACACCACCAACAACGCGAGCGCTTTAATTGCACGTAATAATATTTAATTTTTTTGTGTGTGTGTGTCGCTGTAAAATAACTGCAGGTTGCTCGGTTAATATTTTGCCCAAATGTATTTGTTTTCTCTTTGCAAAGCGGGGCCCAACGCGTGGAATGCGACTTGCGGTCCCAAGCAAGCAGCAGCCGCCGCCGCTGTCGCATAAATTATGCTAAGTTATGCTAAGTGTGTGAGCATCCTCCAACCCCGTCTGGAGGTGACGTCACGCGATTGTCGACATGAATTATGATAAGCGGGTGTTTAATCGTCGGCGTCCTCCAACCCGTCCGGCGGTGACGTCACACGACGGTTTGCATATATTATGTTAATTAGCGCGCTCCGAGCCGTCTAGCGGTGACGTCACGCGGTGGTCGATATAAATTATGCTAAGTTGTACTAATTGGTCGCGTTCTCCGACCGTCTAGCGGTGACGTCACGCTACAGTCGACACAAATTATGTCATTGACATCAATGCTCGTCATGCACGTGTGAACGTCTTTCGCACCGTACACAGCAGACCAAAACAGGAATAAGCAGTTCTAAAGAGATGAGTTTGTCAATCTAGATGATGATGATGATTTAAAAGTGCAGCGAAGCTCCCATTGGCTTCCTAACGTGGGTCGGGGAAGATCCAGTGCCGGATGAAGCGAGTGCGGGGCTTGTAGCAGATGTTATACTGTGTAGGAACCTCCTGGTTACTACACCACCAGCCCACAGGGGATTATTGTGTCCGTCCGTCCGTCGTGCATCCAAAAATGGGACGGGTGGGGCTGGGTTGGGGAGGGGAGGGTGGGGCTGGGTGGGGAGGGTGGGGAGGGAGGGACTGGGTGGGGAGGGAAGGGTGGGGAGGGAGGGGCTGGGTGGGGAGGGTGGGGCTAGGTGGGGAGGGGTGGGTGGGAAGGGAGGGGCTAGGTGGGGAGGGGAGGGTGGGGAGGGAGGGGCTGGGTGGGGAGGGGCTGGGTGGGGAGGGAGGGACTGGGTGGGGAGGGTGGGGCTGGGTGGGGAGGGGTGGGTGGGGAGGGTGGGGCTGGGTGGGGGGTGGGAGGGGTGGGGCTGGGTGGGGAGGGGCTGGTCACCCCGTGGTGCCCTTATAAAACTCAACGTTTAACCTACTCACGCCGGCTTGTGCCCGCCCTCACAGTCGGGCATATTGTGCGGAATACACCACGTGGTGCCGCCCTTGTTGACCCTGGCCATTGACCGAGCAACCCAACGTTCCTACCGGCTCCCTCCGCAGGAGAATGTGTTACAGGGGCCCTACATTTTTTTTTCAACATAAATGTTAAAACATCTACATTTTAACTTGCATAGTAAAGTAATTGTGTTTTTTTCATTTGCTATACGGCCAGATAATAACGACAAATCCCTAACCTTAAACACCCAGTCGTTCATAAAAGTTGGAGGCAGTATAGTACTATAGTAATAAAGCACGTGCTCTCTTACTGTGCCTAGGGCATAGTCACTTCCGCACTCACCCACCCACTCACCAGGGCCGTTTTACCCAATGGGCCACAGTAGTCACTCTTTCTAGATTTGAAGTTTTCGTGACTGCAAGGATTCATGCTCTTTGTTTTTTTTTCGGTAAAGTCACGTAGGTAAAACATTAAAATCAATTAAATCGCGACGTTTCAGGCGCACCACAAGCGTCCTTCAGGTGGGGATAACTTAGCGAAAGCACACACTCACCATGCCCCCTCCCCCCATCCCCCCGCGACTATAACACATTCTCCTGCGGAGGGAGGGAGCTGGTAGGAACGTTGGGTTGCTCGGTCAATGGCCAGGGTCAACAGCGGCACCACCACGTGGTGCATTCTGCACAATATTCCCGACTGTGAGGGCGGGCACAAGCCGGCGTGAGTAGGTTAAACGTTGAGTTTTATAAGGGCACCATGGGGTGACCAGCCCCTCCCCACCCAGCCACACCCCTCCCACCCCCCACCCAGCCCCTCCCCACCCAGCCCCTCCCCACCCTCCCCACCCTCCCCTCCCCACCCAGCCCCTCCCCTCTCCACCCAGCCCCACCACTCCCATTTTTGGATGCACGACGGACGGACGGACACAATAATCCCCTGTGGGCTGGTAAGATTGTAACCAATGTATACCTTCATGAATAAATATATTTATAGATAGCAAAGATAGCTCGTCAATGTCTAGCTTTTTTTTTGTCTTCATTAGGCGAGTGGCAAATTAACACCGGGGATGAAACTGGTCTAGATTTTTGTTTCATTGCAAATTAACAATAACATCTTCGCGTGGCGTTTTTCGCACAATCTCATGATTTTAGTTACACTGTGTATTGGGTTGAGAGGATGACAGTAATAATAGTCAGATTTCAAGGTAAGGGGCCGTCCATAAATTACGTCACGCGATTTTGGACGATTTTTGACCCCTCCCCCCCCCCTCGTCACACGGCATCACAAAAAGTCAGACCCCCCAGCCTCAAATATTACGTCACAAAGCTGTGCCCCCCCCCCGCCCAAAAACAACCATATTTCCATTTTGAAAATAAAACATGCTTCAAATCGCGTATTTAATGAGGCGCTGCACTCTGATGTTGTAGGAGAAAACATTTATTTAAAAGTCTATTTAATTAAGTAGAACGTGTTGTCTATATTTATTTGAAGTTGCCCATTTTGATGTGACGTCACATTTCTCAAACACTCCCCCCCCCTCCCCCAAGGTGTGTGACGTCATTTATGGACGGCCCCTAACGATGCTCACAATTAAGTTATCGTGCGTCTTGCTTTCATGCACATGTCAGTTCACAAAAAAAAGTTCCTGGTGTTGAGCAAGAGCCCCTAGACACTTCTGTTTCGTAGTTACTGCTGCCCCGTGTCACTACGACTACCGCCGGTGTCACTCCGCTTGGTTCACGCGGTACTTTCGTTGGCACTTTCTACCGGTTGGTAGGGTCGGATGAAGGTTCTCGTGGGCCCTAGGCACTTTCATTTCGTTGATTCTTCAGTGATTATTTCCCGACCGTTGGTTACTGCTGCCCCGTGTCACTACGACTACCGCCGGTATCACTCCGCTTCGTTCACGCGTCACTTTCGTTGGCACTTTCTAACGGTTGGTAGGGTCGGATGAAGGTTCTTGTGGGCCCTAGGCACTTTTATTTCGTTGTTACTGCTGCCCAATGTTCCTACTATGATTGCCGCTGTCACTCCGCTTGGTTCACGCGGTACTTCGTCCGGCCGCTGGACTACATGTCGTCACTGCCGACACGTTCGTGATTTAGCCTGTGCCCCTGATTCGATGGGGAGCGCGCGCGCTGCGTGTCGCAGATGAGCAGATTTAATTTGAAATTATTGGAGGAAGGAGGAGGAAGAAGGAGGAAGGAGGAAGAAAACCAAGGTAAGCCTAAAAATAATATAAGCGAAGATTTCTTCAACTACGTATTTGTTTACTATGATTATCGTATCAGATGACGCGGCTTTAAAAGGATGCCGTTCATTTTTTTTATCATACAAAAAAACAGGGTCACGATTTTCATTTCCGTAGGCCCTTTTCAGATTTCGTAAGCCCTCGGCACAGTGCCGAATGTGAATTAATTATGTTAATTATCAAAATTCGTAAATGGGTTCTCTCATGGTTAAATAAAGGAAGCCAGCAACATGAGAAAGCGAATCTCAATGGGGGGGGGGGGGGGGGGGGGGTGGGAGGCACTCGCATGGTTAAATGAAGGAAGCCAGCCACAATAGACAGTGGATATAGCCTATGAAAGCCCAACGCATTAATTTGAGAACGCGGATAAACGATCTCTTGTTTATTTCTGTGCAAAACTTTCCACAAACACCACATGCGCAAATCTAAAACTAAAAACACCTCCGCCACCCCCGCACCTTCCCGGCGAAATACAGCCACCAGCTTACAGACACCGTTGTCAGCCTGTGAACTCGTAAAGGGCAACAATCCCCAGCAAAATATTTTTCAAGGTCGAATCTCTCTCTCACCCCCTCCGTCTCTCCCCGACGAAACGAAACGCCATCGCGAACGTGTCACCGTTCAGCGTCGACAACGGCCGCGTGCCGACGCTGGGCCGACGTTGGGCCCACGTTCAGTCGCAACCGCGTGCCGACGCTGGGGCGACGTTGGGCCCACGTTCAGTCGCAACCGCGTGCCGACGCTGGGCCCACGTTGGGCCCACGTTCAGTCGCAACCGCGTGCCGACGCCGGGGCGACGTTGGGCCCACGTTCAGTCGCAACCGTGTGCCGACGCTGGGGCGACGTTGGGCCCACGTTCAGTCGCAACCGCGTGCCGAAGTTGGGCCGACGTTGGGCCCACGTTCAGTCGCAACCGCGTGCCGACGCTGGGGCGACGTTGGGCCCACGTTCAGTCGCAACCGCGTGCCGAAGTTGGGCCGGCGTTTTGATCAAGAAGTGCTGTTTGATTTTTTTACTTTGACACATCCCATCGGCCGCCGACGGTTCCGTTTGCGCCCGCGGCGATTTAAAAATGTCGCCGAGTTTGTGACTTTCCCGCGATTCGACGATTCGCAACGACGATTCTCCGCTTTTCTTTTTTCTTTCTTGGCGAGAGGGATCATCAAATGACCGACGCAATCGGGACCCGGAAAGGAGCGGATTGTGAATCGTAAAAGTGATTGCGAAAGCAAAACGTATATAAATATATGTGCGTGTAATTCATCCACGATTACTAAACGGGTTTTTATTTTCTTTCCCACCCACCCTCCCCAAGCGGTTTACCCTTCATACCGTGTCAACCCATCCCGTTGACCCCGTATTCTTGTACAGGGGAAATTTAATTTTCAGGTTCATACGGCATGGACAGCTGTTTCAACACGGGCAAAAATACAGACATTTTTGTCTATTTGTTTGTGTTTCTCCCTTGCGATGGGACTTTGTAGGATGAATGCTGAGATGTATAAGGGGCACGGGGTGACCATTAAGGTCTGAATTGGTCTGTAATCAGGTAGGCACTGATACGGCACAGGTATGACTCTTCCGCTTGGAGATAAACGTTGTTAAAACCATTTCCGCAAAATATTAAATCGGTCAAAATAAAACCATTGCGGTCCGCGGGGTGAATACGAAATTTCGTGTAAAAGTATTACAAACTTCGAGGATTTCACCAAGCCCACAAAACCAAATATCCCAACCTCCCCCGCCCCCCCCCCCCCCCCCCCCCCCCCCATTCTATCCGCTCGAAAAACTCACGTTTCAACGAAACCCACGTCCAACCAAACCCACGTTTCAACCAGACGCAACGACGACGACAACACCAACACCAACCGCCGTTCACCGCTAAGTGGCGGTGAAGCCACCGTGGCGCTTGTGCCATCCCAGGTGCACTTTCAGGCCGTCACGTGTAGTGTCGAAGGCTCTCGCCGGCCGGAGGTCACCGGACAGACCCAGGTGGTGCGATGGGTTGACCGGCATGAGATGACCGGCAAATGCACCACCACCGCCTGTGCTCCCCACTTTGCCAACCCGCTGCGGTTTATCCGCCCGGCGCTCGGCTCGTTGTTGTGAGCGTCGCTGCTCAGCCCTCCGCTGCTGCTGGAGGCCTCAAAGTGCCCGGCAGCGTCCTTCACGAGCCTTCTCCTCCACAGAGGCCGATCTTGACACCGCTGGTACCGGTCATCGGCAAGTCCACTCAGCTCCACGTCCTCCTGTACCACATCAGTTTCAATCTCTTCTCCAGCCCGTGCCGCGCCCGTCTAGCCCCCACCACCCGCTCACACCAGCAGGTCGACAGCCCTGGCGAGGGCCCTGACACCACCACCCTCACCACACCACTGCACACCTCACCCCCACCACTCACACTAGCAGGCCCACGGCCCTGGCACCACCACCACCACCACCACCACCCTGCCCATCAACCACACCACCCCTCATCCTCACCACAGCACCGCACAGCTCACCCCCACCACTCACACCAGCACCACCACTCACACCAGCAGGCCCACGGCCCTGGCACCACCACCACCACCCTGCCCATCAACCACACCACCCCTCACCCTCACCACACCACCGCACACCCCCCCCCCCTCCCCACCCACCCACCACCACCACCACCACCACTCACACCGGCAGGCCCACGGCCCTGGCGAGCGCCTGGAAGGAGGCGGCCGACACCCAGAGGGCCTCGACGACGCGCGCCTCCGCGCAGCCGACGGCGAAGCCGCAGAACACGTCGGTGACGTAGTGGTGGCCCAGCGCGACGCGCAGCAGCCCCACGAGCAGCGCCCACAGCAGCAGCAGGACGCGCAGCGGGAAGCCCAGCACCAGATGGCGAGGCAGGAAGAGCGCCAGGAGGGCGGCTCGTGTCGCCTGGTTGGCGGGGAACGAGAAGGCCGACGCCTCCAGGGCCCGGCGGAGCAGCGGCGGGAGCAGGCGGTACGGCGCCGACGGGGCGGCGGCGGCGGCGGCGGCGGCGGCGTTCCTGCCGCCGCCGCAGAGCGCCGGGAAGATGGACGAGGAGGAGTAGGGGGCCGGCGGGGCGGAGGAGGCGAGGGAGACGGCGCTCGAGAAGGGGGAGGAGGAGAGGGGCGAGGATGGCGCGCCGCGCTGCGGAGGGTGGCGAGGGGCGGCCGGGTCGCAGTACGAGGGGCCCTTGCGCCGCACCAGGCCCTTGATGGTGACGGCGACGACGATGTCGAAGATCAGGGCTGGGAGCACGGGGGGCAAGGGGACAAGACGCGGAGACTGAGACCCGGTCTCGAGACGCGGAGACTGAGACCCGGAGACTGAGACCCGGTCTCGAGACGCGGAGACTGAGACCCGGTCTCGAGACGCGGAGACTGAGACCCGGTCTCGAGACGCGGAGACTGAGACTCTGTCTTGAGACGCGGGCACTGAGACCCGGTCTCAAGACACAGAGACTGAGACCCGGTCTCGAGACACGGAGACTGAGACCCGGTCTCCAGACACGGAGACTGAGACTCTGTCTTGAGACTCGGGCACTGAGACCCGGTCTCGAGACACGGAGACTGAGACCCGGTCTCGAGACGCGGAGACTGAGACCCGGTCTCGAGACACGGGCACTGAGACCCGGTCTCGAGATACGGAGACTGAGACTCGGTCTTGAGACACGGAGACTGAGACCCGGTCTCGAAACACCGACCCCTGAGACCCGGTCTCGAGACACGGAGACTGAGACTCTGTCTTGAGACGCGGGCACTGAGACCCGGTCTCAAGACACAGAGACTGAGACCCGGTCTCGAGACACGGAGACTGAGACCCGGTCTCCAGACACGGAGACTGAGACTCTGTCTTGAGACTCGGGCACTGAGACCCGGTCTCGAGACACGGAGACTGAGACCCGGTCTCGAGACGCGGAGACTGAGACCCGGTCTCGAGACGCGGAGACTGAGACCCGGTCTCGAGACACGGAGACTGAGACTCTGTCTTGAGACGCGGGCACTGAGACCCGGTCTCAAGACACAGAGACTGAGACCCGGTCTCGAGACACGGAGACTGAGACCCGGTCTCCAGACACGGAGACTGAGACTCTGTCTTGAGACTCGGGCACTGAGACCCGGTCTCGAGACACGGAGACTGAGACCCGGTCTCGAGACGCGGAGACTGAGACCCGGTCTCGAGACGCGGAGAGTGAGACTCTGTCTTGAGACTCGGGCACTGAGACCCGGTCTCGAGACACGGAGACTGAGACCCGGTCTCGAGACACCGACCCCTGAGACCCGGTCTCCTGCTTCCAGCCGTTGGCGTCAATGGGATGTCCAACTCGCGGCTCTGGGAGTGACGCAGCAGTCTTCGCGGGAGGCACACCACAGACAAACCCTCGCTCCGCCAGGCAAGGTTATTTAGAATCGGCCCGCGGGGCCACGTGACCCTCACCCCCCCACCCCCGCCCCCTTACCAACGCCAACCCCAAAAATATCCGCCCAGCTCTCAAAAACGTAACGGGCGACGCCGAAAATAACGCAGACCTGGACTCGGTGGTCTGGTCTTGGTTGTTTTTCCCGCTGCCGTGACTGCTGCTGCTGCTGCAGCTTGAGTGACGATTATATACACACGCACACATTCGTAATCATCGGGTCCATTTGCTGGTATTATATTACGATTATTTATGTTCTGTCAAACCGCTGCTGGATGAGAGGGGGAGCGGCGGGGGGCGGGGGGCATCGCGGGGGGCGGGATGGCTGTATAAGAGTGCTCGAGGCTGAGTGGGTGTGGCCTGGCACAAGCGTCGTGGTGACATCACCGCCACTTAGTGGCGAATGGCGGTTGTTGTTGTGGTTAAATAAAGAAAAACACGGGCGGGGGCCGCGGCTAGTGACAGAGTGGGCGTGGTTATGTAAAAGTGGGCGGGGGCATTATAATAAGGGGAGGGGCTGCCAGCTTCACCGTCGTCACCACCTTCGTCACCACCGTTACCACTGCCGTCGTCACCACCGTCGTCACCATCGTCACCATCGTCACCACCGTCACCACCGTCACCACCGTCGTCACCACCGTCGTCACCACCGTCGTCACCGCCATCATCACCACCGTCACCATCGTCACCACCATCACCATCGTCACCACCATCACCATCGTCACCACCATCGTCACCATCGTCACCACTGTCACCACCATCGTCACCACCGTCGTCACCACCATCACCACCGTCGTCACCACCGTCGTCACCACCGTCATCACCATCATCACCACCATCGTCACCATCATCACCACCATCGTCACCATCGTCACCACCGTCGTCACCACCGTCACTACCATCACCACCGTCGTCACCATCGTCACCATCGTCACCACCATCATCACCACCATCGTCACCATTGTCACCACCATGATCACCACCATCATCACCACCATCGTCACCATCATCACCACCATCGTCACCACCATCGTCACCACCGTCGTCACCATCATCACCACCATCATCAACGCCGTCGTCACCGCCGTCGCCAGCTCACCCAGCAGTAGATTGAGCAAGACCTCCCTCCCGGCCGCTGAGTCGCTCTGCCAGAGGCAGTAGGCGGTCCCCCCGATCCAGGCCGCTCCGTGTCCCGTCAACCCCAGCACCCGAAGCATTTGTCTGGAGCCACACCACGCGACCAGGCCGCGGGACGCGCTCAGGTCCACCGCCACCAGTGACCTGCATGCGGAAAACACAAGTGGCGGGGCTGCAGTGATGTCAAGTGGAAGAGCAGACAGAGGCAATGTCACGAGCATTAAGGACCTGCATGTGGAAAACACGAGACATCGGGGCTGTGGTGATGTTGAGGATGAAGTGGAATAGCAGACAGAGGCAATCGGGGACCTGCACGTGGATGACATCATCCACAGGATCAGCATCTTCAAAACAACCAATCACCATCACCTCCTCCACAACCATCACTATCGCCTCCACCAATCACCATCACCTCCACAACCATCATCGCCTCCACCAATCACCATCACCTCCTCCACAACCATCATCGCCTCCACCAATCACCATCACCTCCTCCACAACCATCGCTATCACCTCCACCAATCACCATCACCTCCTCCACAACCATCATCGCCTCCACCAATCACCATCACCTCCTCCGCAACCATCGCTATCACCTCCACCAATCACCTCCTCCACAACCATGATCGCCTCCACCAATCACCATCACCTCCTCCACAACCATCATCGCCTCCACCAATCACCATCACCTCCTCCACAACCATCGCTATCACCTCCACCAATCACCATCACCTCCTCCACAACCATCATCGCCTCCACCAATCACCATCACCTCCTCCACAACCATCGCTATCACCTCCACCAATCACCATCACCTCCACAACCATCATCGCCTCCACCAATCACCATCACCTCCTCCACAACCATCATCGCCTCCACCAATCACCATCACCTCCTCCACAACCATCGCTATCACCTCCACCAATCACCATCACCTCCACAACCATCATCGCCTCCACCAATCACCATCACCTCCTCCACAACCATCACCCCCTCCCCGTCATATACAGTATCACAACCACTATCGTCATCACCACCATTAATCACTTCCATCATCACCACCTTCACACCGTCGCCACCACTGCTGTCACCACCACCATCATCACCTCCTCACCATCGCAAACACCACACCAGTCTCCACCATCAATCACCTAATCATATCCACCACCGTCATCATCATCACCTCCTCACAATCTCCACCATGAATTTCCACCACCATCATCACCTTCACCACCACCATCTCCACCACCACCATCACCACCACCATCACCACCACCACAACGACCATCATCACCACCATCACCTCCACCACCACCAATATTCAACCACCATCGCCTCCACTACCACCACCACCACCACGACCATCACCACCACGACCATCATCACCACCACCATCACCTCCACCACCACTTCCACCACCACCATAAACCACCTCCACCATCAATCACCTCCTCACCATCTCCACCATTAACAATTCCACCACCTTCACCACTACCATCACCACCACCATCACCACCATCATCACCACCACCACTATCACCACCACCCTCACCTCCACACCATCATCACTTCCACCATCTCGACTACCACCATCACCTCCACTACCATCACCACCACCTTCACCACCACCTCCACGACCATCATCGCCTCCACCACATCCACCACCTCCACCATCATCACCACCACCACGACATCACCACTACCACCACCACCATCATCCATCTCCACCACCACCATCACCTCCACCATCACCACTGCCACCACCACCACGACATCACCACTACCACCACTACCATCATCACCACCACCATGACATCACCACTACCACCACCATCATCCATCTCCACCACCACCTCCACTACCACCTCCACTACCATCACCTTCACCACCACGACCATCATCACCTCCACCACATCCACCACCTCCACCATCATCACCACCACCACCACCACGACATCACCACTACCACCACCATCATCCATCTCCACCATCACCACCATCATTCACCTCCACCATCACCACTACCACCACCTCCACTACCACCTCCACCACCACGACATCACCACCACCACGACATCACCACTACCACCACAACATCACCACTACCACCATCACCACTACCACCACCACGACATCACCACTACCACCATCACCACCTCCACCACCACCACGACATCACCACCACCACTTCCACCACCACCACCTCCACCACGACATCACCACCACCACCACCACGACATCACCACCTCCACCACCACCACCTCCGTCACCTCCACCACCACCTCCACCACCACCACGACATCACCACCTCCACCACCACCTCCACCACCACCTCCACCTCCACCACCACCACGACATCATCACCACCACCACCACCACGTTCACCTGAAGGCGATACCACGGAGGGAGGGGTTGAGCCTCATGCAGTCCGACTCGGGCAGGTTCATGGACTCTCTCCTAGCTGCCAGGTTCTCTGTCCCACGCGGTGCGGGCGCTTTCTGCTGCTGCTGGTTCAGCTGCTGGAGGTGGTTCAGGTGGTGGTGCTGGTGGTGGTGCTGGTGGTGGTTGTTGTTGTTGTTGGTCCGAGCCGTTGCCTGCACTAGCAGCGACATGAACTCGGGTCTCAACTCGGGGACACCGCGTCCTTGTCTCAGCCTCTGGCGGGACGAGAAGCTGGACATGGCGTGGCCGTGTCTGTCTGTGTGTGTGTCTCGGTGTGTGTGTCTGTGTGTCTGTGTGTGTGTATGTGTCTGTGTGTGTGTCTCGGTGTGTGTGTCTGTGTGTCTGTGTGTGTGTGTCTGTGTGTGTGTCTGTGTGTGTGTGTGTCTGTGTGTGTATGTGTCTGTGTGTGTGTCTCGGTGTGTGTGTCTCGGTGTGTGTGTCTGTGTGTGTGTCTGTGTGTGGCTAGGTGTGTCTCGGTGTGTGTGTCTGTGTGGCTAGGTGTGCCTATGTGTGTGTGTCTGTGTGTGTCTGTGTGTGTGTGTCTGTGTGGCTAGGTGTGTCTGTGTGTGTGTCTGTGTGGCTAGGTGGCTAGGTGTGTCTGTGTGTGTGTCTGTGTGTGTGTCTGTATGTGTCTAGGTGTGTCTGTGTGTGTGTCTGTGTGGCTAGGTGTGTCTGTGTGTGTCTAGGTGTGTCTAGGTGCGTCTGTGTGTGTGTCTCGGTGTGTGTGTCTGTGTGTGTGTCTGTATGTGTGTCTAGGTGTGTATGTGTGTCTAGGTGTGTATGTGTGTGTCTGTGTGGCTAGGTGTGTCTGTGTGTGTCTGTGTGTAGTCTGTGTGTCTGTGTGTGTGTCTGTGTGGCTAGGTGTGTCTGTGTATGTCTGTGTGTCTAGGTGTATTTGTGTGTCTGTGTGTCTCGGTGTGTCTGTCTGTGTATCTAGGTGTGTCTGTGTGTCTCGGTGTGTGTGTCTGTGTGTCTGTGTGGCTAGGTGTGTGTGTCTGTGTCTCGGTGTGTGTGTGTCTGTGTGTCTAGGTCTGTCTGTGTGTCTGTCTGTGTTGCTAGGTGTGTCTGTGTGTGTCTGTGTGTGTAGGTGTGTCTGTGTGTCTCGGTGTGTGTGTCTGTGTGTCTCGGTGTGTGTCTGTGTGTCTCGGTGTGTGTGTCTGTGTGTCTATGTGGCTAGGTGTGTCTGTGTGTCTCGGTGTGTGTGTCTGTGTTGCTAGGTGTGTCTGTGTGTGTCTGTGTTGCTAGGTGTGTCTGTGTCTGTCTGTGTTGCTAGGTGTGTCTGTGTGTGTTCGTGTTGCTAGGTGTGTCTGTGTGTGTCTGTGTGTGTTCGTGTTGCTAGGTGTGTCTGTGTGTGTCTGTGTGTGTTCGTGTTGCTAGGTGTGTCTGTGTGTGTTCGTGTTGCTAGGTGTGTGTGTTTGTGTCTGTGTGTGTTGCTAGGTGTGTGTGTTTGTGTCTGTGTGTGTTGCTAGGTGTGTGTGTCTGTCTGTGTTGCTAGGTGTGTCTGTCTGTGTTGCTAGGTGTGTGTCTGTGTGTCTGTGTTGCTAGGTGTGTCTGTGTGTGTCTGTGTGTGTTCGTGTTGCTAAGTGTGTGTGTTTGTGTCTGTGTGTGTTGCAAGGTGTGTGTGTCTGTGTCTGTCTGTGTTGCTAGGTGTGTCTGTGTCTGTCTGTGTTGCTAGGTGTGTCTGTCTGTGTTGCTAGGTGTGTCTGTGTCTGTCTGTGTTGCTAGGTGTGTCTGTGTCTGTCTGTGTTGCTAGGTGTGTCTGTCTGTGTTGCTAGGTGTGTGTCTGTGTCTGTCTGTGTTGCTAGGTGTGTCTGTGTCTGTCTGTGTTGCTAGGTGTGTCTGTCTGTGTTGCTAGGTGTCTGTCTGTGTTGCTAGGTGTGTCTGTGTGTATGAGTGTGTAAATGGATGGATGCCGTCTGTCTGCACTATGTCTCTCATCAGTCTACATATCTGGATGGTCTTCCCTGTCCGCTATCCTCTCTGTGTCTCCCCTATCCGTGTCTCTGACTCGCTGTATCTGTCTCCCCGTGTCTCTCTCTCCCCCCGTGTCTCTCTCTCCCCGTGTCTCTCTCCCCCCGTGTCTCTCTCTCCCCGTGTCTCTCTCCCCGTGTCTCTCTCCCCCGTGTATCTCTCTCCCCGTGTCTCTCTCTCTCCTCGTGTCTCTCTCTCCCCGTGTATCTATCTCCCCGTGTCTCTATCTCCCCGTGTCTCTCTTTCCCCGTGTCTCTATCTCCCCGTGTCTCTCTCCCCCCGTGTCTCTCTCTCCCCGTGTCTCTCTCCCCCCGTGTCTCTCTCTCTCCGTGTCTCTCCCAGTGTCTCTCTTTCCCCGTGTCTCCCTCCCCGTGTCTCTCTCTCCCGGTGTCTCTCTCCTCCCGATCTCTCTCTCTCTCTCCCGGTGTCTCTCTCCCCGTGTCTCTCTCTCCCGGTGTCTCTCTCTCCCGGTATCTCTCTCCCCGTGTCTCTCTCTCTCCCCGTGTCTCTCCCTCTCCCCCCGTGTCTCTCTCTCCCGGTGTCTCTCTCCCCCCGATTTCTCTCTCCCGGTGTCTCTCTCTCCCCGTGTCTCTCTCCCGGTGTCTCTCTCTCCCGGTATCTCTCTCCTCCCGATTTCTCTCTCCCGGTGTCTCTCTCTCTCTCCCCGTGTCTCTCTCTCTCTCCCCGTGTCTCTCTCTCTCCCGGTGTCTCTCTCTCCCCGTGTCTCTCTCTCCCGGTGTCTCTCTCCCCCCGATTTCTCTCCCCCCGTGTCTCTCTCTCTCCTCGTGTCTCTCTCTCTCCCGGTGTCTCTCTCCCCCCGATTTCTCTCTCCCGGTGTCTCTCTCCCCCGTGTCTCTCTCTCTCCCGGTGTCTCTCTCTCCCGGTGTCTCTCTCTCCCCGTGTCTCTCTCTCCCGGTGTCTCTCTCCCCCCGATTTCTCTCTCCCCGTGTCTCTCTCTCTCCCCGAGTCTTCAAATGAAACAGCTGGTGTTGATGTTGGAATCGATTCCACGCGTCATGAATCGGACGCGTCGATTGCAGTCCCGTCGAATTCTCATAATTGAAAGTTGCTTTCTGGAACCTTGTGGCTCTGTCATGGCCATCGAATTCGCATCATTACATCCACAACCAACACTGCAGGTCACAACAACAACAACAACACCCACTTATGAATTACCCACCCATCCACCCAGTGAAAGCTAGTGCAGGCCTGGAGCATATTTTGTTATGAAGGGGACCCTAAATAAAAGAATACACAAATATTAAAACATCTTCTTTGGTTCTTTCGGTAAAGTCACGTAGAATGAGAATAAAATAATAAATTGATAAAATAAAATAACAATAATATTCTCACGACGTTTCGGCCACAACACAAGCGGCCTTCATCAGGTAAAGGGACGAGACTGTCTGGTAGGACAGCGCTGGAGTGAAAGAGCCACGTTCAGATCACGGCCTTTAAGCTGTGTGAGAGGAACAAAGCGCCTTGACAAAGGAATTAGCATATAATTTAGCATTGAAATGGCTGAATGATTAGCTTGTGACTGGTCACAGAAATAGCTATGTTAAAAGTTAAAGCATACACATCCGCAGAGGCACCCCTTGTTAAAGGAATTAGCATAGAATTTAGCATTGAAATAGCTAAGTTAAAGCATACACATCCGCAGAGGCACCCCTTGACAATGGAATTAGCATAGAATTTAGCATTGAAATAGCTGAGTGATTAGCTAATTCCATTGTCAAGGGGTGCCTCTGCGGATGTGTATGCTTTAACTTAGCTATTTCAATGCTAAATTCTATGCTAATTCCTTTAACAAGGGGTGCCTCTGCGGATGTGTATGCTTTAACTTTTAACATAGCTATTTCTGTGACCAGTCACAAGCTAATCATTCAGCCATTGCAATGCTAAATTATATGCTAATTCCTTTGTCAAGGCGCTTTGTTCCTCTCACACAGCTTAAAGGCCGTGATCTGAACGTGGCTCTTTCACTCCAGCGCTGTCCTACCAGACAGTCTCGTCCCTTCACCTGATGAAGGCCGCTTGTGTTGTGGCCGAAACGTCGTGAGAATATTATTGTGTTATTTTATTTTATCAATTTATTATTTTATTCTCATTCTACGTGACTTTACCGAAAGAACCAAAGAAGATGAATCATTGCAGTCACGAAAGCTTTAAATCGAAATATTAAAACAATTTTTTTACTTGCACAGTAAAGGACCGTGCATAAATGACGTCACGCAACTTGGGGGGGGTTAGTCATTTGTGACGATGCGTGACGAGTGGGAGGGGGTGAGAAATGTGACGTCACATCAAAATTACGCAACTTTTAAATAAATACAGACAACGCGTTCTACTTAAATTTTGATTTAAAGCTTTCGTGACTGCAGGGATTCATATAACAAAATATTATTTTATATTTTTATTATTTTATTGTTTCCCTTCTACGTGACTTTACCGAAAGAACCAAGAATATACGTTCTACTTAATTAAATATACTTTTTAATAAAAGTTTTCTTCCTACAACATCAGAGTGCAGCGCCACATTAAATACGCACTACTACAATGACAACAATAGTTTAAAGCGATTTGAAGCATGTTTTATATATTTGGGGGGGGGGGGGGGGGGGGGTAGAGCTTTGTGACGTCATATTTGAGGGGGGGGGATCTGATTTTTTGTGACGCCGTGTGACGAAGGGAGGGGGGGTGGGGGGTCAAAAATCCTCCAAAATCGCGTGACGTCATTTATGGACGGCCCCAAAGTCATTCGTATTTTTTTCATTTGCTGTACAGCCGGAATAATACGACAAAATCGCTCCCGTGAAACACCCCCAGCCGTTCGTAGACGTTGAAGGCGGTGTAGTACTATAGTAATAGAGCAAGTGTAGAGTCACTGAACCGAAAATTTGGTGCTTTGGTGACTGCAGGAATTACTCTTTTGGCTTTTTTCGGTAAAGTCACGTAGAAATAATAATAATAATTAAATATATATAACAGCGTACGACGTTTCGATCGCAACACAAGCAATCATCGTCATCATCATCAGGTACAGAAGAGCTAAATTTAATAGAGAAAGGAAACACAGAACCGCAGATGTATATACAGACGCCTAAGTAGAGGGAATTAACACAGATACACCAGGGGATACACAGAGAGAGAGAGAGACGCGGAGGAGCACACTAAATCAAAACAGGGTTTAGCAAAAATTAGATTTAAAGCTTTCGTGACTGCAGTCATTCATATTCTTAGCTCTTTCGGTAAAGTCACGTTGAAGGGAAACAATTAATAATAAAATATATTTATATATTTAAAGTCACGTTGAAGGGAAACAATAAAATGATAAAATATATTATATATAAATATATAATATTTCTTTTATTTTATTGGTATTTTAT